GAGTATTTTGAATGAAAAAAATTTGGTATTTTCTCTCCTAAATAGCGATAATATTCATTAAAGTGGAATTTGACATCAATTTTTATAACTGCCCAATATTCAAGCACAAATTTGTAACTGTTAACCCTCTTTACCATAGAAACTCTTGAGCAATCTTTGACTGCAGTCCACAGACAGATCTGTTGTTATATAAACAAAAAGGTATTTTAGAAATATAAAAGAATAATATTTTTATATTAATGTCAAACCAAAAGTTTCATCAATCTCAAGGAATCTACACAGCAGCTCATACTAGTCTACACCAGAGGGTTAATTCAGTTCAACTTAAGGCACACAACTATAATTTGCCACATCAAGGTATTGTCGTCATTATTTTGAATTAATACCACAGTGGAATATGGTTTGACATTCAGAGTGGTGTACTAGATTCAAGTTTCAACAGGGAACATCATTTCTTACTACGTGGTAGGTGTAATCAAGTGATCATCATTTAATAATGCTATCAAGCAGAAATTCCCAGTAATCTCTAAGAGGTATTCAGAGTGGAGCCTATTTTGACAATAGGCGCCAATAATTTTGGTCAAATCAACCCCAGAAAATTGCAAGTTATAAAGTAAAAACGATGTTGTTCGAGAACATTATACTGGTAATTTCAATTCCTAGTTTCAATTTCAGTGCAAACTGAAGTCTTATTCAACGGTAGGGTTCGTTGATTCCATTAAACTGAAAATGCAATGTAGCTTGATTGACTTTCAGGATCACATTCTCTGCACAAACTCTTCTATGCTTTTTTTTTGTAAGTATACATTTTACTCTTTGTTGCCTAATTTCCTTTTTAATTTACCTGACAAAAGTCTTCACTGGCTATCCCGTACAAAATGTTCGTAAACTGTACAATGTAATCATCAAAGGTATGCTTTTAACAAGAATATCATATCACAATTTTAACCAGTTGACATATAATTTTATGCTGAATAGTTGATGAATATCTGAATGAAATATACTACTGGACATATTGAATAGTCAGAAACCATGCATGCTGGTGTGTAGATCTCGTCAGTCACATCAAAGCAGTCTAAACACTGGAAGACGTTTGTACGGTTTCCAGCGGAATTGTTCGTATCACATGAGTCTGTATGGCCAACTTGTATTGACCGGTGATCAATTTATAAGTGACATAAAAATTGCAGGTTCCTCAGGGATATTTCACCCGCTTAAGTAGATTTTCAACTTCCCAACTGTGTTGTCAAATATCTGGAACTGATTCCATTTTAGTCTGTCCATTAGAAATAACACACAGTGAAGGAACAGTATCATTCAATGGATAACAAGGTGTCGGACACAATTTATTGTTCATATTCATGTCAGGTAACTCCACAACCCTCAGATAGTTTGTTTAGTCCTAATTTTCTCTCCTTTTGTCTGATAAGAGTAGTAGAATTACTCATATATGTGGGACAGGTGAAGAACCATTTACATTGGATGTATTTAGTGTTGATTCGATGAACAAAGATTCGGTTATCAATCTCTCCCTTCCTCCAACCGACTAAGTTTTTAATCCTCTTATTCTATCCCATCTCATCATGAGATTGTGTATAATTGCGTGCTGAGGTATGGTCGAGTTTTTTTTAAAATTTCTTATCATATCACGATTTACCGATCTTGATTTAACCATGATTTTGTGAGCTGTTATCCTAATTAACCATCACTAGTCGACTACTTTGACTTCTTGTACTTGACATCGCAATTATTGCAAGGGATTTGGTGCGCCAAATCATTTTGCCTAGTTGGATCAGTTAGATCTTTTAACCTAAAAAGCTTGTTTCTAAGCGATCTTTTTTGGTTTAAGTGTCAGTTCAGTCCCAGACAGTTTTATTGAGTCGCAATCGGAAACACTGGCACTGGGCTATTTGGCCGACAACTGACATATGGTTGAACTGGTTTCTGCCTGATGATTACTTAATGCAGAATAACTTATTTCATGTGTTCCAGTCTTGAGTGCTGACTGAACTGTATTAGGGATTTTGTAATATAACCATCATGCTAGAAGCCTCATCGTCATCATGGTGCAATCTGGTAGATGTTTATGAAATGTGCTTGCAAGCAATGCCGAACAAGAGCGAACGGAAATACACCTTCACCTTTATAACACAAGAACCAGTAAACTCCAGATACTTGACTCCTTTTCATAAGTCCAAAATGTTTTGCAAATTTCGATAAAGCCACTCGAAATGAGTAAGATTATGACATATAGGTATGGCAGAAACATTAGAAATCCAAAAATTTAAACCAACATTGTGAGGTCAGAAGAAACATGTACAACTTGTTCGTTTGCTATGATCATCGTAGAATATCGATCATTCTAGATAGTTTCTTTCCGACATTACATTATGCTTTTTTCGCAAATATTTTGTTTCTTTCCCCATTTTAAACGCTAAAAGACATTGCGTGACTGTCCTTTGTCATGCAGCTGATTTCCACATCTGACTGGAAACTACTCCGAAATTTTCTATCATTTCTGTTATGTTCGAATTCATCATGAACTGACATCGGTTGGAAGAACATTGGAAAGCTGGAAGCAGTAGACAGGTGTTTCGTTTCACATGTATGAGACTCCTCAGCATTGCACATCTATCACCGTGCCCCACCTCGCCACCCATCGAACCAAGACCTTCAGGTTCTGTGGCCACCACGTTACCACTGAGCCACTGTGTCGGAATCCAGTCGTCCACATTTTCTGCTTCTATCAGTTCACGATCTAGAGCGACCTTCGTCCAATGTCATCGTCAAGTAACTGTCTTGATGTTCGACCTTTTTGACTCCACTGATCACGACTTCTCATTGGCACTTCATGAATCACCTCTCGAAGCTAGTCACTGATGAGCCCTAAAATATTTCTATCCGTAGGTTTGTGGAGGTTTATTAATTGAGTTAAGGTGGGGTCATGGGTGAGCACTGCTAAGGAGTTGCGTACTAGGACATAACGGCTGTCCAGTGCTCCCAGATCTCCAATGTTCCTCCAACCAATGTCAGTCAGTGATGAATTCTAACCTCAAACCAACGAATAAACCTCCATATAGAATTCATATTATGTGTTAACGAATGTACAGCTAAGAGAATGAATTCCTGAAAGAGGAAAGTTTTTGTTCGCTGCAATTGTCCTTTCTACATATCATAGATGCTATTTATTCGAAAGCATCATTATTTCATTCAGTTACTTATGGGAAATTGAATTATTTATGGCAGTGGCTGAGTAACTGACAAAATAAACGTAGAACCTCACATACAACTGTATCGGTTCAAGTTGTCACAATTCACAGTAGTACACAAACAACAAATAGACAGAAAAATACTCATATCAAAGTAAACAAAGCAATTTGAAGATAACGGCTAGCGCAAATATTCAAGCTTTAGAAGATGTCGTAGAGTGAATACATCTGCTCCATTGTGACTGATTTACAGCTATGTCACTAATAGTCAACAGCAATTGGTTCTTTTCATCTCGCTGACCCCAACGAGACAGTCTGCATCTCCCCTTATGGCTCAGACCTACAGTTAGTAGCTTCAACAACTGATACCACGTCATCGTCTAGTCATCAAGAAGCCTCTTCCAACCTAATCTAAATTCACCTAGTATACCTCGCTGAGGTAGGCGGTGGCCTAGCTTTCATAGTACTTATCCAAGCCATTTCAATCGACTGTGATTCACAACCTCATCAACTGATTTGCCTGTCTTACCTCGTAATACCATTCATGAAGCTTTTAACCTGCAACAGTACTTGTAATTTAAGTTCAAAAACGTCTACTGCACATATTTTATTCTCACATAAATCTTCCTCCTTGAATATTATTTCACCTGGCGAATACAATTTGTTTTGGGAAGCTTCCTGATTTCTTAGCGGTTAGGTCAGTTAGTTGAAACAAATATTTAGCGTATGTTGCATAAGGTTGTAGTATCTGAATATGGTTGCGTCAGTAAACTTTCGAATCATTTGAGGCTTTCGAAAAGCCTACTGCTTTACGGAGTTATTTTGCTACATCAAATGTTATCTTTAACTATTTATACATTTTCATACTGATAAACATACAGTTTCGTGTGATAGCTTATTTAGGCTAGGAGTAAATACTGTTCTTTTTCGTTCTTAAGTATCCGAGACACGGACGCCTCCGGAAAGGTAGCAGACAAAACCATCCGAATCAGTTCACTCTTGACGCATAAAATAGTACAAGTTCCAATGAATTATACCTTTTGTTGTCGCTTGTGATTTCCCCATGATTACGATACCGGATTGACGTGATTAGTCCATGCGGTCGTATGCGATTTTTGAACAGATACCTCAGTATCACCTCAGGTTTTATTTTAATGTTGTAGACTTGGTGGAGGCTAGCAGTAGAATCCAGGACATGCATTTTTTCCTATTTAGGATTCATCGGCTGAATGTACCTCTCTCTCTCAGTGAGCCATATTGTTCCCACTACCATAGGTCTAAACCTCAGAGAGTTGTCCACGAGGCTGCTGAATCATGATACTTGTCTATTGTCCAATGGATATCACTACCTACTTATTGATTCTCGCAATTTCTCCCTAGCCACTGTGCTGAACAGAGTTGATCGGTCTATACTAACATAAGGACTGTTAAACATATTACTTGGATATCCATTTGTCATTATCCGCTTCATGGTAGCAAAGTGGATAACACTGTGACTTTTGAAGGGATGAATCCTGAGTTCAAGTGAGTCTCAGCGGGAACACAATCATTCACTAGGATGCAGATGCATCAAGCGGACGACTCACAAATAAGGCAAAACGCTTATCCTACATTCCACTAGAAGCTATCTCTAAGCATCATCAAACACCGAAATGAAATAAACCATTTTTGTTATCAAGATGAAAACTAGTCTTGTACTGATATCTCCATCTATTCTCTTGTTTGTTTAATTCAGATTCTTTTCTTTCCAGTTCCAATCTATTCATTGTTTGTTTTTTATGTATCTTATAGTTTAGGAATATTAAAACAGATAGTGAACTGCCTGACTGTATCAAATTATTTACAAAAACTTCTATGACATGGTCTACAGACAATAAAGGGATTTATTACATTTATTGTATACCAACAAATCCACCTGAAGAACAAATTCACCGTTTAATGCAAAAATATTTACTGTATATATATTATCATAAGTTGGGTGATGAACAGTCAAAGGACAGAGTACTTTGGAGTTGTGAAATGTCTGCACCGAATCTTATGTAAGTTATCTTTTTCGGCTATTACCTAGACTCAGTAGTTTTAAGATGACCCTAATCATTGAACAGTGAATTTGCGAAACAGCGCAGAGTAAAAATTTGTACACAGAAATCAAACGATAAAGGACTTATCTAATCACTCTTAATTGACAAGTGTATGAATATCAGCCAATGCCAAGAACAATCTTCACTTGAATAATTTAGTGACTTATTGGGAAACGTAGAAACATTATTAATTGATACATAGATAATAAAGCTTAATTAGGAGTGTTTCTAAAAGACATCCGTAAGACTAAATTGTTTTGAAGTTAAGATGGTAAAAGTATGATATATTAGACCGTTTTTTAATTGAAAGTCCCAGTGGTATACCACGTTTGACTTTACACGTAAACTTCCTTGAGACCTATCTCTCACCATCCTACGGTGAAAAAGGTGGGATGCGTTCTGTATTTGATAGGAATGTATGAGTAAGTTTTGCACTTCTAAAGTAATTACCTACGTCGATTGAACAAGAAACAAGCAATCAATATGTTGTAGAAGCTACGAATGGTTGCGAAACCAACAGTATCACTCAGTTTGGTAAAATACGACCATCTACAGATGCGTCAAGGTCAGGATGAGAGTTGGATGTCTGGTAACGCCACTCGCTAAGTTAGGATTTGAAGGTTATTAAAAATTGCGTATTGGATAAATGATATACATTATTTTGGTATTTTTATTTCTTATTGAATGTAAAACAAAATAAATTTGTTTCAAATGACATGTCGCCATTCAGTGCTAATGGCTTCATTAAAGTTACAACAGACAGGAATTTGCAGTATCCAAACTCAATCCTAAATCTTACATAATTTCAGGATTCTACGGTCTATTTAAAATTCACAAACTTTCCGTTTTATATTGAAAATAGTCGCAGACTTTACTAACACAGCAATATGCAACCACTTCAAATATCTGGCATCAATACATAAATATTATTTCCAATTTATTGAACTCACACATAACTTTGACAGAAAGATATTCACCAAATACCATAGACAACAACAAGGCCTTAAACTTTCGCCTAGAAACTAGTTAATTTACATTTAAGGGAAAGTTATACGAGAAAGCTAAGGGAGGAGCTTTGTTTTAACCCGTTTCACCTACAGTATCAAACCTATTTACTAGTAAATTCGAAGAAAGTGTTTTCGCATATTTACAAAACCTGAAAATTTGCTAACACGTTCATAGTTCAGTTGATCTAGACATCCTACATTATGATCATATCCTTCACTGATTGTCTTATTTAGCTGAAAGAAAACGCACCATTTTCAGAAAGGAAATGCCTCCAGCAAATATTTAAATATCATTTCAACATATCCTATCAGTCTGAAGGTTTTTGTTATCTTCAATCTTTTAAGGAGGAAATTTACTCTAATGACAGATAAAAATCAATGAGCTAAAAAATCAAGGCACATGAATACGATTCTTAAAACGAATAACTATCCAATGAAATTCATTCACTAAATAGAAATTAATTAATTAATACCAATGGAAAGTAATCAATAGAAAGTAATTAATCGATTAACTGATTAATTAATATTGAATTAGATCTCAAAAAGAAACCCCTAAATCAAGGGTCACAACAACAGTTATCCTGTATAAGTTACGCATCTCGGATGAGATTTAGAGTGTCCAACAAAAGCACTACCAGAGTGTTTGTTCTAAAGTACATCAAACACATTAATAAACAAATATCTTTATTCTCAAGTTATGGATTTAACATGAGCGAAGCCGGTTTACAGGTCTCATCAAATTGATAATTACAGAGAAACATAAAAGGTTTGAGCAGTTTTGAATAGTACAGAGGGAGGACATTAAACTTTATCATCATACCAAGTGTCTAAGTGTTATGAAAATAGCAGGAAAATATCACTTTACAGTAACATACATATCTTTCTGATTTTAAATCATTCCTGATCACAATTCTTATTTCACATCAAATGGTGCAATATTCGGTGTTTGCTTTATGATTAGTCGACATGGTTGACCCATCTGTAAAACCCAGTGTTTCGTCAGATAAACGTCTATTTTAACAGTAATTCTTATGTTCGTAGCTTTATTGACCAACAATAACTTACTTCATTGATTTCAGGAATAAGTAAGTATCCATACCATCATTTAAACCAGGTGAATATATAAGTTCAGACATTTTTCACTCTTCAAGCGTTACCTTTCCTAGCAAAGCATCTTTGTTCATTTGATGGAGAAAATTCCTCTGGATGCAGTCTAGGTGTGTTTATAAGATAAAATCCTCCCATTGTGATGTTGTGTACCTAGAAAAACTACTGGTGAAACCATTAGAAATTCAACAGAGCTGAATAAAACTTGAAAACACTTCAGTCATAGCTATACATGCTATAATTTAAGATCACAAAATTGACATTGACGATAAAGAAATTATTCAGAAAGGAATAGCTCATGTCAGAATCTGCTCATTTAAGGTGGAATCAAAATCGTCCAAGTGGGAATGAAGGAATAAAACGTAGTTTGACCTGGTTTCAACTCACACGTAATGAAAAAACATGTACATGCAATAAGAAATATTGGCATAAGTGTACAAGCAAACTTCAGTCTGCGATTCATCTACTCACCACACATATGACCGTCATCTTTTTCAGCAGTATAACTTCGTCAAATCATTGATGCTGAACAACTCAGATCAAGTTCTGGTTTACTATAACTTTGATGAAGCTGTTAGCAGCATTCAACAGCGAAATGTTAGTTATATCAAATTTGTTCTGTTTTACATTCATTGGGAAAGACAAATACTAAAATACTTAGTGACCTGTTTGGAGATGAGATTTCCAGAACTTCTAATAAGAAGTCATGACCGGTGAGGTCAGCCAAGTCGGACATGAGAACAGGTACTCAGCGACGGTATTAAATGATGAATGCTTTATATCGTGAATTGAAAGCAGTAAGAAAAGTCGAACCACTGTGTTCCAGCCTAATGTCTCCCAGGTAACCTACTCATCGCGGAATCTGACCGTCCTAAGCCCCATCCCTGGACAGCGACAGTCATGGGTGAATATCGCTGAGTCCCGCACTAGGACGAAATAGATGTTCACTTCTTCAAGATTTTCAGTGGTTCTCCAACTGACGTCAGTCCATGTTGACTATCACCCTGAAGTCACTAGTGACTAGTTCGTGCCTTAATATACCAATTGACATGGCTGTTGAACTAGTTAAAAATGAGCTCAATAATGCCCATGAGGTTACTGCGCCAACTAAGGTACCAATAAAGGAATTCATTCCATAGGTACAGTTACCACTGACCCTCAGAATCTTTACTTTTCAAAATAGAATATACATCATTATGATGTTAGATGTTGAAATTCAATCAACAAGAGGGTGCTCTCAAGCTGTAGCCCAATGGTTTAGAGAGATGACTATCAACCACTGTGTCACGGGTTCAAACTCCGGTCAGCTTACTATACTTTTGCAGCCAGATAGCATCACTATCCCTTACATAATAGGTGTGGCTCATTGCCTAGTGCGCGAATGCATACAAGGTGGATGAGTGCATTTCGTCGTTCTATTCGTTCTTGTTTTTTGGCCCTCATTAGCATGGCATTTCTGCAACGATGAGGAGACTGGTGTTCCCTCGGTGATTTTAGCCTACATCATTCCCTACTTTTGTCAATGACAAATCACGTAGTCCAGTGGTCACACTGCGATTAACAATTTTCGATCAATGCTAAGCATTGAGTACTAGATGGAGGTAGTGTTTACCCAATGATGACCAGATTGTGTAGGCAGTGTTATCCATTGTGAGCTTATAACCTGCTCTATTCCTCTCTCTTCGAATCACCTAGTGGGCCGTTAGTGATAACAGGATCAAATCCAAACATACAGCAGCTTCGTTCAGTAATTGTAGATAAATCCAAGTACTGCGAAGTTCCGTACTAGTAGCATCATCATCAGGTGAAGAAAGTAATACTCATTTATAGTATTATGAAGTGATATATGATTACATCTGTTAATATTTTTTGGCAAGTCTTATACGATCTACTGATTACTCATTGCGAATCATCTATCTTCATATTTTTTTTGCTTATGTCTTTTAAAAAAGGTTCTGTGAACTGAATGAAAGTGGACGTTATTTGTTAGTTAGCCTATTCAATGGTAATGGGACTCAAAACAAGTTGGTTTTTGGTGACCTTCAGCATGAACGCGTAAAAACAAAAGGTGAGTTTGTCAGTTATCCTGTCAATCTATACCCTGATGAAAAAATGTATTAAAGAAAGGCTTATTTAATCTGCTATATACTTCTTATTACTCATAGCTTTTGCCTGTTATTTTCCCTATGACCTTAAAGTAACCTACTTGGCAGTTTACACACACCTACTAGTTTTTCTCCCCTCTGCTCTCAAGGTTCAGCTCACATTGGTTGTTAACTGTTTGTGAGTTTAATGTTGTCAAGATCATCTAGAAATGGATGTATTCAGCATCTCTGTCAACTGTACTGACTGTTGTTATTGAGGTGGTAAAAGCTTTCTTCCAACTGCCTGTCTTCTTTTCTTGTCTTCGCGTGTCGGTGGTATTGTTGTTGTGGTGGTTGACGTTTTGATTTGTGTTAGAGTCGATTCGCTGCATATTAGGTTCGTATAGTTTGTAGTCTGTTAGGCTTGTATCGCTCGTAGAGCGCTAGGTCATACTACTGGTCATAGCATATATATCTAAAACAGACAGGCTATCAACCAAACATTGGTTGTTTCAGTCGTTTGTTTTTAGCTATTTTCACTTGCTAACATTTGAAATCGGCGCATATTTTACTTTTGAGACAATAAAATAATTCTCATAGGAATACACTTTTTCATTTAGACATTGAGTAAACCAGATACTTTTAAATCTCAGGGCAAACAGGTAACCATTCAACCAGTCACCTGGACTTCAAAAGTTAACTTCTTCCAACTTCTTTTAACATCATTTTCGTCTGCAGATTTTGAGGATTAGTCGATTCCATGGTGTTTATCGTCTTGAACTGGCATCCTTTGGAAAACCATTGAAGACCTCGAAGCACTGGACAGCTGTTTCTTCCTAGTATGGGACTCCGTGACAGCGAACACCTTGGACCTCGTGAGAGGTCGAGTTCAAGACCTTCAAGCCTTATGGCGAGTACCCATTAAATCACAATCGAATGTTTCCTATCTTCTTACCTCTGCCAATTCGCGATACACTGCGACCATCAGCGAATTTTATAGGCGACCATTTTTACCAACATCCCTGAAATTTACATACTGTTTAGTGTTCATTAATGAAATGCTTTGAGGTGTTTTCTCGCAGTCCACATCCGAAGTTATGACTTATAACGTCGACCAAGTTTAGAGTGAGGTAAAAGCCCATCGATAGTGCTAAATGATGCTCCTGCTGTGTCACAAATTGATAGAATTGATAAAATCTAAACCACTAGCTTCTGAGCAGTTAACTGAACTGTAATGTCCTGACCACGAGACCTGAAAGTCTTAGGCTCGATCAACGATGTGATCAGAGGTGAGCATTAACGAGAGGTCTGACACTAGGAAGAAACAGCTATCCAGTGCTTTTGGGTTCTCAGTGGTTCTCCACGTTATATCAGTCAGTGACAGATTTCCGGTTAAAATCATGGTTACAGTCCTATCATTATGCAATGAAATCCGTGAGTATTTATGCTCACATGTCAAGCAAGCGCATTAAAAACTTTGGAAACCCACCTAATTTAAGGATATGGAGTTGTTTGTTGACTACCAGAGTTTCAGAGAAATACTAAACCACAAGGAAGTTCTCGTTACAGATTAACATTAGCTACAGAACCACTGAAATGGAGGCAGTATCAAATAGCAGGATAATCTCAGTTTGGGACTTCTCGAAAGTGAGCGCTGACGAATCCTACAGTGTTTGAGACTAAGATATTCAAGTTTTCGAAAACAGGTGGGCAAATAACAAAAGCAATGTCAATTTCCTACAAACTCTTTTGGTTTTTGTGTTGATCTTTTACTGAACCTTGAGTGCACACTACTAGGCAGTCCTAAGTCACTAAATTAACAGGTGCTAAAATTGACATCGATCGGTGACGGAAGTTGCCATATAATAACTTTAAATGAAGCCCAAAAAATAATACTTTTAAGCCAAATGTCACGCAGCTGGCTTCACATATAGAATTCATGTAAACCAGGATAAAAATGGAAGTAGGAAAGATTAGGGAGAGATGTATGTGAAGTTTTCAGTCACAAATGTTTGAACGTTTGGCTTGACTTCGACAACTTCGACTGTTTAGAAAGGATAACCTTAATCAGAGTTGTTAAAATTCGATATGGTGTAGTCAGAAATTCTACTGGCCATGTCAACATCACTTTGTTGTTTAGTATCAATCAGATGCACAAGAATGTTGACAGGGAACTCTACTTACAGGGATCGCATGTGTCTGGACCTCAGTATTTCAACTGCAAAGAATTTTTTAGTAATGTAAACATAATTTTCAAGACTAAATTTGACTGGAGTTGCAATTCAAGGGTAAATCCTTTTATCTTACTATCAGTAAACATGAATGGATCCCATCTACAGTTTCAGCAACTCATTACAAAAATCCGTTTGAAGTGACTAATGCGACAACCTAATCTCTGATTATGTGGGTTCACATATTAGTCCCGTTGTCAAAACATTTGAGCTTGCATTGATTTATTTGATGATAAGCGACTTAATTTATCGACCATGAACTATAAATAATGTCATTCATTATTTGATTATCAGCAAGACTTATTTATATCACTCTAGTCGACATGATTTATTGAATTTTCATTGTACATATAAAAATGTCAGTAAAACTGAAAGTATTAATACTGCTCATTGAGATGTTACTAACTTACGCGGAAGTATGTCACGTAAAACACGCAGCATTGTTGAAATTATTATTTGTCTGTAGGGTTTCCAGTGAAATAAACGGCTTCAGTAACATGTCGCCACTTCACTCCGTTCTCCAAAGCCGTGACAACCTGGCTCCACCACTCCCCACAGGCTTTCATTTCTTCTTCACACAATCTCCTCCATGTCACCCTCACCTCGGACGTCCAACTCGTTGTTTCCTGTTTGGGTTACATTCAACAGCCTGGTCTAGCGTGACACGTGATATCCACAAACGTCTTCCGATTGTATGTCCAATCCAATCCAATCCATCTCCACTTTCTTCTGCATATTTGATGGGCGAGAGGTTGTTGGTTGGTTCGTTGCCAGCCAGAATTCCTCCTTGATTGTTCTTATTATTCTGGTCATCTGAACTCCATCTTCAGTATCGAGCGAGCGTAGATGCCAGCTGTTCATGTATGCCTGGAGTTTGTTTCAAATACTTTTCGTAAAGCGCCAACTCTCTCAACCATCACATAGAAGCACTGACTCACTCGACCAACTGAGTGTTGAAAATCCCGATCTTGTTCACACTTTATGCTGAGTGCAGTGAAGTGGAATAGAGTAGATCTTCACACTGATTTCAGAATAATGCAGGAAGGCCTGTCTTGGTGTCTTTCAGATCCTGGTTTTGACATCCTCATCTGTGCCTGTACCACCTGTAGTTGTAATGATGCTGCCTAGGTAGGTAGGTAGGTAGGTTGGTTGGTTGGTATGTAGGTGAAAGGAACAACTTCCTTTAGATTTCTCCTGTTCACAGTGATTATGGCCTGTTGTTGTTATTGTTGGTTGGGTGTCTTCATCACCTCTGTCTTCTCTATGTCCACCTGAAGGAAGTCCGTCTTTCTTGACTGCCCTGCCTTGCCCTGCCCTGCCTCTTCTGCCAAACTGTTGGTTTTCACCCGTAGATCTTCCAGTTTGTGCCACATAAGACGTAAATCATCACCGGCGAAATCCAAATCTTCTTCTGGGGTATTTTCACAGGTCGAACAGCCTATGTCTCTAATTTCCCTCCTCATAGTTCTTTGTTGCTTGATCCAGTCGAGTCGAGTCGAGTCGAGTCGAGTTGAGCTGAGTCGACCACGATCAGGAAGATGATCGTTGATGGTGGGCGGCAACCTTGTCTTACCTGTTAACCTGTCTTCATTTCGAAGGCATCAATGAGCTTTCCTTTGTGAATCACTTGACATCATATAGCATATAGGTCAGCAAGGTTTTGTGGCACTAAAACCGTGATGTTGAAGCAGCAGCTGTCGAATTACTTCTCGGTCTGCGCTGTCGAAGGCCTTTCCAAAATAAATAAAGTTGAATTACAGTTACAATGGATTGTCATTCTACGCTTTGCTGTATGATGATGCACAGCGTAGCGTTTGCTATTCGATCCACACATGCTTTGATTTTCATGAAGCCAGTCGACCAGTTTGCCTGTTCCGGTTATATTTTTGAATGCAGAGGAGTTTTTAGCCTCTTTCGGATGATGAGGCTTAATATTTCGCTTGTTGTGGACACGAGTGGAGTATGATTTCACACCAGTTCTTGTTCTTGCAAAGACTTAGACCTCCCTCCTTTGGCAGTTTCACCAGATGGCCTGCCTTATGTAGTACTTTTATCTTTTTCCCTAGTACTTCTGTTTACCTCCGAATGTGTTGAAATTTTTGAGTCATTTGTCATAATATTAGATAGTGTGTGTACTCAATTACTAGGCTTTAGACTTTGTACAGTATTCTATAACGATAAGAAGGAATCCCGAAAAAGCCTCATACCATCATGTTGAACAGGATAATACAAGATCACTGGTTTTTATTTGAAGGTTCTTCTCAGCTACTCGGAACGTAGACCATATCAAAGTGTATACGTGATAAAATGGTTTTCAAAACACTTTTATCACTTATTGTAACGATACTTTTAATTTCACGTTGCCATACAAGGTCAGATGGCTCGACCTCTGTTGGTAGATCGGCTCCTATGCGGATGCCTCAACATTGGAGAATATTCATGACTTGTATGCTTCTTGGTGACTAGCGGTGGAACCCAGGATGCACACCTATTTCTATATGGGACTCGTCAGCTAGCAGTACCTACCCCCCAGCGATTGTCCTTCTTCAAACTGCCACTCGGATCCAGCATCATTCGCTTCAAACTCCAGAGCGCTGTCCACTAAGTAGATGCATCCAGCTGATAAGTCTCAAATAGGACAAAATACGTGTCCTGGGTTCCTCTGGTAGTCGTCAATATCAATAAAACACCTGTATTAAGTTGGCGAAAAGTTATCGACAAAATCAACCAGTAGAAAGATGTTGAATAGTGTAAACAGTTAAAGTATGGTTATTCATGTGAGCAGGGGACTGACTATCTACAAGGTTGTAAGGTGGTCTCAAATATGGTCAGAATAAACAATTAACAAGAAATGGGGCTGATAAGAATGTTAATCAAATGTATTAGAAATCTGTGTTGCGAATCAAACTTGAGAAAAAGTTATCCGTTGTAGAGAAATGGCTGTTTTACAGTGTTTATCCACTTAAGTTCAGCGATAAATACGGGGAGTTTAGAAGGATAAGAAGCGGAGTACAATGTAAAAGAAAAACTTTACCTCTTTTCTCTCATGGCTGAACTCAGATAAATTGTTTTTTATTTCAGTTGAACATAGACGAATTCCTACATCATATTAACTCAAAATGCATCTAGTATTTTTTTTATGCACATGCCAAAGCACAAGGAATGCAAGAACAGAAAAGAAGGCCTTACTGTGTATTTCTGAGTGCATCCTCAAGAATCTAAGACAAGTATCCACAAACCCCTAACTTCATAACTCCACGGGATCTGACTGGTAATTGATACAGCGTAAATAGCCTCATATTGTTCAAAGTAGTCAACAGACAGAAGAACTTAAGCCAATAACCTTTTGGCAAAGTAATTCCCACCAACTAGGTGTATTTTAAAGGATACAGCTGTTAAACTTGGATTATTCTGACCACTATAGATCAAATTAAAATGTCTGCAAATTTTCGTTCCATTATCCCTTCTTTTATGGCTTCCTTCATTTTTCAAACCTGACTTTGCATCTGAACACTGTTCATCTTCAAGTTTTTGTAAATTAAAACCATTTATTGCAGTTACGCAATCTATGATAATATTATTGTATTACTAGTAGAGTGTTGTTAGTATCCACCTCTGAACCTTTCTCTTCAAGGAAAGCCATCTAATAATAATATAGATAGCCATTCTCCCTATCACATTCCTAAACATCTTCTCTACTCTAACTATATACATTATTCACCAACTACATCACTGACTGGTGCTGTCGATAACGTTTCGCCAACTTGATACAAGTAGTAGGATGAAATGCGCATCCTAAATCCCACTGCTAGCCACTACCAATCATTCCTATACATAATTAAAGCACAGGGAATATCGAGGTATCCGCACAGGAGCCCATATGCCAACAGAGACTGATCAATTCGGCCCAATCAACGACGGTGTAGTACGAGCAATAACACTAAAACTATACCCGTCGCACAAGACGTGGCTCCCATGGCTCGGTGGTGTAGTGAGTGACGCTCTGGCTTTTGAAGCGATTGCCCTCAAGTCCGAATCACGGCGGGAACAATATCGCTCACTGGGAGGTAGGTACATCCAGCTGACGAGTCCCAAGCAGGTCGAAATGCGCATCCTGGATTCCACTGATAGCCACTGCCCATCAATATTGATACCAGTGCGTTGGAAACCTTTTGTATCATGTATAAACTGACTGACTAGGTTGTGAATAGTTGAGCAGAATCCTAGGAATACTCAACAGTCAGGTTTTTCGTTTGGACAGTTTATAAATGTGAAGAAGACGTATTAAGACAGATATACTTCATTGAAATCATTTTCTTCCTTTCTTTTTATAAAGGTCGTCTAAAAATGGTCCCAATTGTGGATGAGTTCGATGCCTATTACAAATTTCTTGGCAGTACTGCAACTCATTTTTATATAATGACTAATATGGGTGCACCATTCAATAAGATAATCAAAGTTGATATCAAAGATCCTGAATGGGTAAGTGAAATCGATATGATAACCAATTTAATATATCGTTATTAATAATTCTTTCAATGGTTTAGTCATTTGAAAATTGGGAACTAGATTATCTGCTTTAAACGGAGGTTGTTTAAATGCAGATAGATGTGGTCATTTTTGAAAATGACGGAATGTATGAGGTAGCCACAAGTAATTTCGTTGAAGCATTATCCTTCCTAATCTCCACAGTCAAATGCATACCTGCTTTCCTGGTTTGAATAAAAACGAGGTATCGAAATGTCTTAAAGATTTGAAGCCATCTCAAAGCTTATGTCTTGATGGCGTTCCGGTTATCATATTTAGAAAACGTACGGATACTTTAAGTCGCTCCCTTGCAGATTTCTTCAGTGCATGACTTTCTAAAAAAATATCTACTGCTTGGAAGGAGATCAAAGTTGTGCCTTTCTAAGTCATCTTCTAGATCAGGCGTTAAGTTTCGACTCATTACTATAACTTCCTGTTTACGAAAACGATAAGTAAATAACTGCTACATGTCCTTGAACCTTCACTGAAGGCTTACACAGATCCGAAACAGTTTCCTTACAAACACAGCAAAAATAATTGAGAAAATGTCACTGTCACATTATCTATATTATTTGACCTTTAAATTCCTAGTGAGATATACGGCTTCAGTAACATGTCGCCACTTCACTCCGTTCTCCAAAGCCGTGACAACCTGGCTCCACCACTCCCCACAGGCTTTCATTTCTTCTTCACACAATCTCCTCCATGTCACCCTCACCTCGGACGTCCAACTCGTTGTTTCCTGTTTGGGTTACATTCAACAGCCTGGTCTAGCGTGACACGTGATATCCACAAACGTCTTCCGATTGTATGTCCAATCCAATCCAATCCATCTCCACTTTCTTCTGCATATTTGATGGGCGAGAGGTTGTTGGTTGGTTCGTTGCCAGCCAGAATTCCTCCTTGATTGTTCTTATTATTCTGGTCATCTGAACTCCATCTTCAGTATCGAGCGAGCGTAGATGCCAGCTGTTCATGTATGCCTGGAGTTTGTTTCAAATACTTTTCGTAAAGCGCCAACTCTCTCAACCATCACATAGAAGCACTGACTCACTCGACCAACTGAGTGTTGAAAATCCCGATCTTGTTCACACTTTATGCTGAGTGCAGTGAAGTGGAATAGAGTAGATCTTCACACTGATTTCAGAATAATGCAGGAAGGCCTGTCTTGGTGTCTTTCAGATCCTGGTTTTGACATCCTCATCTGTGCCTGTACCACCTGTAGTTGTAATGATGCTGCCTAGGTAGGTAGGTAGGTAGGTTGGTTGGTTGGTATGTAGGTGAAAGGAACAACTTCCTTTAGATTTCTCCTGTTCACAGTGATTATGGCCTGTTGTTGTTATTGTTGGTTGGGTGTCTTCATCACCTCTGTCTTCTCTATGTCCACCTGAAGGAAGTCCCGTCTTTCTTGACTGCCCTGCCTTGCCCTGCCCTGCCTCTTCTGCCAAACTGTTGGTTTTCACCCGTAGATCTTCCAGTTTGTGCCACATAAGACGTAAATCATCACCGGCGAAATCCAAATCTTCTTCTGGGGTATTTTCACAGGTCGAACAGCCTATGTCTCTAATTTCCCTCCTCATAGTTCTTTGTTGCTTGATCCAGTCGAGTCGAGTCGAGTCGAGTCGAGTTGAGCTGAGTCGACCACGATCAGGAAGATGATCGTTGATGGTGGGCGGCAACCTTGTCTTACCTGTTAACCTGTCTTCATTTCGAAGGCATCAATGAGCTTTCCGTTGTGAATCACGTGGCACATATCACCACTATTTTTATTTAGTATGCCGGTAACTTGATTGTTTGTTTTTCCAGTTAACTTTCACTTGGATTACTCTGCATTAAATTGATTCTTGTCTGTATTTGACCAATGGACTCTCTCAGATGGTCTGATGCTAAACCCTTCTGAATGTCTGACAGCTAATTTTAGCCTGAGTGGTAAACAAGACTTGCGTGAACTGGTCAAGTCCCGCGACGCCTGCTGCATTGATGGTATTCCTGCAGGAAGTAAATCGAGTGTCAACTATTTTGTGTTGAGTTTCACTTCTGATGTTTGTTGATTCGTAAAAAATCTTTCGTTTAACTCACTACATGGAGAAACTGAGGCTTTCTGATATAACGCAACCTCTACGTTTACGATTTATTAGTTCCTGCATTTTACCAATTCTTCTGTATTGTTCTCCGTCCTTCCTTCCTAAACTACTACTAAACAAAGACTATTGAATATTGCGTAAGGCTTTGAAAGTCATCAGTTGGTTGAGTGGTGTGACTCCTAACCAACTGATTAACACTGTAGTTGACAGACATTTAAATTCTAGCAAGCAACTAGCTACAGTAATTTTAACTGACACTGAGCATTCACTTTATTCACAGCTCACTCCTTGTATGTCCTCAGGGAGGACAAGAAGAAACTACATAAGACTGTACGCTTGTACAGGCAAGTATTAGAATTCGACTTTACCTTATCTAGCACGTATATTATGTGAAGAAAAAAGTGTGTTAAAAAAGAACTCACATATCATCTTTGTAACAGTTAAGAATCTCACTCCAATAATTTAATTAACAATGTAAAATTTCCTCCTTATTAATATTGTTTACATTACTTAAATGTTTATAATATCACTAGTCTAAATGTTGTAAAGGAGTATATACACACACAGATATTTTGTAGTTGTTGCTGTTGCAAAATATCATGCTGAGAATTCCAAATCATGCCAAAAGTTGTTTGGGATGAAGTGATTATTATTATTATTAACTTATGGTTGTAAAGCCCAAAAGGAATGACTCAGATCTTCACTAATACCTGACTGTAGATATCTGAAATGTCCTGGTTTTGGAAATAATTTAGAAGTCTCAACTCAGGACTTTCAATCTGTTATCTTTGAAAGTAATTGATGTAATAACTGTTGCACTAAGAAATATTGAATTACCTCGAAAATGATTGTCTTTTAGTAAATAACTAATGCATAAAGTGGTGGATAGAAAAAACAGCTTCACTACTCGCTATAATACTACCATCTTTCCTGTATCTATATAACATCTTTGAAAAATCATTGGTTTCGGTACTGATTGGCATAGTTGAAAAAGAAATTATACATAAAACCCAAAAATAAGTACTATACAGTTTAACGTTTGACAATATTTTCATCGTGCCCTATGCCTGATTTGGATTGAAGGAAATGTGAAAAGATTGCAGATAATAAGTAGTATTTTTAAGAAGATGAAGACTGAAAGACTTTCAGAAAAGTACACTAGATGTTATTGGAGTTTAAGACACACACGAACCTCAAATAGGATGGAACACACGTCCTCATTTCCACCGCTAGTAACTATTAAACACTGTGAAAAAGGTGAGTTGAGGGGTTTTTCCATGAAGTCAGCGAGTTAGACTGCAGGAAATCATATCATTTACTTAGTAATTATCAAGCTAACGTTTTTCGTGATAAAAAAGATGGAAAATCAATGGAATTTAGGAGTGCCAGCTATCCAAACCATATACATTATTTCATAACAAGATACTATTCTGTAGGTAAATAGTTTGAAGCAAGAATATAGCTCTTAAAAAATCGGAAATTTGAATTTGTTCAGACCAACTTGTCAAATGTATCATCTATTGAAAAAATGCTATTTACTCGATGACATTTTGAAAGCAGTCTAATTCTCATAATCACAACCTAACAACTGCCTGATTTGATTTTATAAGGCTTATGAGGATGATTCAGCATCAAACTTGGATATGTAGAAAACCAAAAAAACAAAAAACAAAAAAATGGGAAAGTAATTAACTGAATGTAATTATGAACAGTAGGTTGCACAAATAAAATATACCGATTATGTTATTGAGAAGACAAAAACCTATGCTAATATATGTCTTTATTAGGCTTAAATTGTAAACCAACTATTTATTGGCTGGATAATTTGGCTGAAATTCTCACGAAGAAACTTCAGTGAGTGTTGGAAACAAATTTCTGACAGACGTTAGAGAAATATCTCTTACAATCAGGCCTACTTCAACGTGCTTCTGTGAAATTAACTGCTCCTATTGATTTATTTTATTGTGAGTGTACTGTGAGAGCTATGTCCCAATATGACAAAAGCAACTGTCTCTATGACTGATAAAAGGTAGGGTGAATAAGATTACCAGCTATATCAAGTCAGATTTAATCAATACGATCATTCTGTGAACGATTAGTCCGTCTTCCAATGGTTCATAAGACACCTATCACATATAGAATGAATTCACTTTTTACAAAGTCTGAAGCCAGCACCAATTAGACATTGAAATCCTAGCTGTATGTTCAGAGAAAGCTGATACATTACCCTCCTATTACATGACCATTCGTTACGTTAGGGTTTACATAATCCAGTTATAATTGCCACCATGTAGCGCATATGAATGTATGGATACCTTTGTGAGTATGATTTCTGTTAATATGCATCTTTAACTTGTTATAATAGTTTTCACGCTTGCTTTTAAACTACATTTTATAGATTTTACGCTCATTCTGAATGATTTTTTACCACTTTACAACATCCATTATCCGAAGTTTATTTAATTTCTCTTCGTATATTTTCTTTATTTGATATTTAAGTCAAGTTGGATAGATTTGATCCCTCATAATCCAAAAAGTAAAATCGAGCATGCTGTTTGTGTCGGTCAGAGATACTTGGCAATTTGTCGTCTAGAAAATGTCAAAGTAAGTTGAACTTAGCAAAATTGCATTGATCCGTTTCATTTGACAGTTGCTCATTAGCTGCTTCGAATGTAAAACCGTTTAAATTTAAAAACATGAGGTAAAAAAATGCTTACATAACCAAATCACTTCGACAGAAATCTGTCGGCTGAAAGTTACATAACTGGAGGTACATGAGCTGAGTGAATAGTGGCACTAGAGGTCGTAGCAAAAATGTCTAACTGTACAAAAAATCAATGAATATTCTACAGTGAAAGTTGGACGGTAGAGGTAGACAAATGTAATTTACATGCTGAGATAGGTATAACACAGAAAATATGGTAGGGAAAGGTCAGAGGATATTTACTACGTTAGAAAATAATTTGAGTAGGATTCAAACGACTAGGCCAACAGTGTGAAACAGAATAAACAAAAAAAGTACGAATCGACAATTTTATGTAAAAATCATCGTTATTATCAAAATCAGTAAAGCTTTTATGTTAGGAAAAGACTGACAACTGCATCTTTCTGAATACATGAATTCAGTTTTAACCGCTCAGTATCTACCGCTCTTTACAAATGATTCGAGGACTGACACAATTTAACGTTGTCAATTCTTCCTTTTATGTAATCTCCAACTTTATCTACCGATTGATATATTCATGCAGAAGCAGGAAGATAAACACTTGTAACTGCACGTCTCACATCTCAAGGAGTTTTCAACTGAAAGGTATAAAAGTTTTCAACAGTCCACCCGCTCGTCACCTAGTTGATAGTGTTTGCAAATTTGATATACAGAAATCGTTTCGATGAAATAATTATTCTACTCAGCTTATTTCCTTAGGTGGTTTATATCCTTTGACGTTTTCCTCTAATATTTTCCGAGTAACACTTTCCCTCAGTAATGTAGATTACATTTGTCTGCCTCCTTTGTCCAACTTCCATTCTAGAATATTCTCTGATTCTTTATATATTTAGACAATCTGACTATTAGTTCTTGTATCACTTACCACTCACTTCGTGTTCCTTCAATTTAGAAACGTCAGTGTTCCCTTTGCTTCAAGCCAACCGATTTTTATCAAAGTAATTCAAGTATGTAAGTATTTTTGTACATTTTTCAGTTAAAATTGTCATACATTGTAGGCGACTGATGAGCAGTTGTGAAATGAAACGGATCAACTTCATCCTACTAAACTCAATGTCCACACTCTATTATGTGGTAAATATACCTTCATTATAATTATTTATATTTAATTAATTCCTCAAAACTTGTACTCTGTCTCCAGACTTGGTCTAAGAAGTCACCAGCCACAGCTGTACGCAAAGAGGACCCCGTCCAAAACTAGGATAAAGCAGCTTTTCAGTGCTTACAGTTGTTTTGTTCTAGTATGGAACTCCTCAACAGTGTGCACCCACGACCCGACTAGGGGTCGAACTCAGGACCTTCAGGTTTCGCGGAGAAAGTGTTAACCATTCAGCCACTGAGTCGGAGTTCAGTGGTTCGTAGTTTCCAACTTCTGTTTGTTCGCGATATAGTGCAACCATCACCCAAGGTCTTCAGTTGGCATCGCCTTCCCTCCCGATTGATTTACCCACAGGTCACAGCTTCTCATTAGAACTTCTTGATATGCATCTGGAAGTATGTCATCAATGAGCACTATACACTAACGTATTTCTGAGATGAATAAGGGTTTTAATTTTAGGGTGGTATTCATCACGGTCTAACATCAGTTGCCTACAAGGACGAAACTGCCGTCCAGTGCTCCCAGGTTTTCAACGGTTCCTCAACTGAAGTCATTCCGTGATGAACACGATTTTAAAATACACTGTAGTCTAATTATGAAGGGTACTCGGAAGGGATAAGTTTATCTCAGGGTAGCCAACGCAGAGAATCTGGCACTGGTTTTGACTGTACTTCACTCACCTCATCACAGACGTGAACCGCACTCCACCTCCCGAAGCTTTCGGTAACCCAGTGGTATGACCAGCTCCTAAAAAACAAGGCGCAGCTTTTTATTCAGTGATCACTGAGTGGTGTGTTTCACTGACAAACTTCCAAACGATCAGCTTTCTAACCACCCACCAAGGTTTTCTGTCGTGCAGATATGTCGTACTTTAAAGTGATTTTCCTCACAGAAACAGATCAACTGAAGAAATACTAAAAAGCTGACAGTATTGGTTAGTTTTTCAGTCCTACTGTGGAACGTCTCTGCAGTGTAGACCCAAAAATGCATCACAGTTTGTTCCTAGGACCAACAGATTTCACGAGGATTACGTAAACATTCAGTCACCTGGTCCAAATCCAATCGTCCGCATTTTACTACTTCCGTCAACCGGCGATGTAGCGTGACCATTATCCAGTGACATTAGTGGGCATCTCTTTCACTCTGAATAAGGTTGTCTGCACAAGTTGCGACCTCGGACTCGAACTTTGAGAAATCCATGTCAAAGTAAGTTACTAATAAGAACTCGAAAGTGTTTCAATTGTTGTTTTGTGAGGATAAATTGATCTGAATGGTGTATAGAGATAACTCACGTTTAGGTTTTCGGAATTTTTACTTCATTCAGTGACATTTCTATCTAATAAAGTGACAAAATTTCAAACTATAAACAAAACTGTAAACTTATTTCGTTGATTTTTCACTAAAGAGTAAACAATTTCATGTTATCCAGTTATGAATACTGGCCGAATTCTATGGATAATGCTACAATGCGGGCATCAAGCGATGCAACTCACCATTTTGTTGCACTTTGATGAATGGTAACTGGTTGTGTGCAAACAGCAGGAAGTTGATGGTGCTCGTCAGCAAGACCCATCTATAATCTCTAGAGAACTGATGTCCCCTGTGAGGTTGGAGTCCACACCACCAAGCGTTGCATTCAGTGACAATATCATTGAGCTGCTCGGGTCAAGATTGACTTCCTGATGATTACCAATATGCATGAAACTTAGGTTTAGGGTCGTCTGTTGATTTCAAGTCGATACAAAATAAGTAATAAATATATGAAATTCACTAACTGTTGAAAAATCTAGCATTACGATGCTTTTCAAACTCACGGTTTGGTGATTTAAAAACTTTTTCATCTTTCTTAAGTGAGATTATCTGAAATTTAGTTCCTGAAGCTGACGAAAATTTGTTAAAATGATAGTAATAAAATTTAATTTTTACATGTTGGGATTAAAATGTTTGTCTACTTATTGTTATCGCTTGTTTTCCTGTAAGCTTTTCTCACTTCTTTTTCTACTAGAGCTTTATTTCAATTCATGAATGGAGTACCGGGGCACGACTACGTAAGATTTCAGTTCCCATTGGTAGAATATATTCCATGTCAGGACATCACACGAGTACAAAGGTAAGAAAATGATCTTTTTTCCTGGAAAGATACTAAACCCTATCTTCTTTTCTGTGCAGATTTTGTCAGTTTCGCTACATTCAATGAACCATGCACTTTGATGTGTTGTGATCTAGCCCAGGATAATAGGAAACTTGAGGTAAACTTTGCACAGTAACGTATTTTCTTTGTATTATTTAATGGATAACCTATTCACACCATTATTTGTTTAAGCTTCATTGATACGTTGAGGGGATCCGTATACACTATGAATATGTTTTTGTCAAATACATTATCAGAGTCATAAAGAATAACCAAGTTGTGACACTTTTGAGCAAGGAATTCGGTAACTAAATATCTTTCAGGAAGTATTCACCAAGGAATGAAATCAGTTGAAGAAACACTGATAACCTGACAGCATTGTATAGCTGCTTCTTCTGAGTGTGGGACTCCTTAGCAGTATACACCCAAACCGCCTAATTAGAAATTGCGACTGATGGGGTATTCCAGTAGGAAGTGAAATGATGTCATCTGAAGGCCTTGGTGGATACTTGCACTATATCGCTAACTGATAGAACCAGGAGACTGTAGACCACTGAACCCCCACCTGTTTGTTCTGTGTAACTTGAAGGTAGTGATTTTGATGCCTAATGGGGTCACGCAAGTGTACTGCTGAGAAATCCCACACTAAGATGAAATGGCTATCCAGTGTAGGCAGGCTTTCAATGGTTCCTTAACTGATGTTAGACCACAGTGAATACTACCTTAAAAATTAAATCCTTAAACCACATAACTGTATACAAGTCCGAATTGTTTGACCTCTGTTGGTAGATGGGCTCGTATACGGATGCCTCTATACTGCTGGATATTCATGACATTATATTGATTCCAGTAACTATTAGAGGTAACTATCAGGATGCGTGCAATGTCATAGTTGAGACTCGTCCGCTGGATGTGCCTGCACTCCACTGATTGATGTTGTTCTCACTGATGCTCGAACCCAGTACCAACGGCTTCCAGTGAGTGTCAGCTCTCTGAGTCACTGGGGTACGATAGCTACCTCTTGTGCAATGTGTATCAGCTTTTGGAATGATACACGCTACCATCATTTTAAAGGAAAACTTATTCCATATTCATTTATTTTGATATTCAAGACTACATTTCTGAATTATAAGAATCTTAAACACGTTTATGATCAGTATTCGGCATTTGGCTCATTGGATTCTATACAAGTGACTGATCTCACTATCATTGACCTGATCCTTCACAGAGTTATGTGTCTACACTTATGAGGAGCACCAAACCAGTAAACTACAGCTGACCAATGATCTTGGGCTTTGTAGCAGCTCTTTAGATGACTTTATTCTGTGTTGAAAGCTGCTCTGAAATGAATCAGCATCCATAAAACTATTATATTTATTACTGTCACACCTTGATTACTATTTATTTTTATTTCTCTGATAAAATTGCAAAACCACTGTGTAAAATATTGTTGTATGTACCTGGGTAGATTGTTTGTTTCTTGAATCCCATCTAGATTTGAGAAACATGAATGTGAAAACGGACTAACACTAAAGGTTGGCTAGAATAACTTTCGGTAAAGATTCGTATGAGCGTTATTTCCCTTCAGATATTCTCAAAAATAGTTGTACTTAGGTTATTTCAAACTGAACGGACAATTCACCCATTACTATTATTAGCTAGCAGTGGAATCCAGCTTGATGCGCGTTTCGTCCCATTTGTGACTCGTCAGCTGGATATACCAGCCTCCCTGGGAGCTAAATTGTTCCCAGTAGGACTCGACCTCGGGACTGTTCGCTTCAAATGCCACAGCTTAACCCATTAGACCACCTAGTCACGATTGACACTTCTAGTTTTAATACTGTCGCTTCTATTATCCCACCATCAATATACAATTCAAACACAGGCAACATCGAGGCCTCCACGCAGGACCCCATACGCCAACAAAGGCCGATCATTTCGGTCCACTGAAGGACGGGATAATACAAGCAACAACATTAAGTTCACCTACTAGTTCAAAATGAAATTATTAACATACACTGAAATAGCTGAACATAGGAATTCAGCTAAATATAGAATAACAGACCTCAAAAAAATTCGGCTATTACTATGCATGCATTAACACACAACCACATACAATATAGTGAGATAAAGCCACTGTACTTAAGTCCAATATAATTAGGTGGAGAGAGAGATTGATTACTGAATCTTTGTTCATCGAATCAACACCCACCCAACACACGTAATAGAAATAACGCAACAAGTATACCAGAGACATGGAAAATTTTGCTACCAATAAAAACAACTCATACAAGGTGACGTAACTATAAAAATCAAATGTCGAAAGTGGTGTGTGATTACACATTGATATGATTATGAGCAATGATAGTTTATGCTCGAAACGTCATCAAGTAATAATACTAGATCACTGTGTGTTATAAATCGAATGAATAAATCTAATATAGAATTAATTTCCACCACAATGCCGAAAGTTTTACACCTATATTAGGGAGACCTGTTGATTCTTTGTTTTCTATTTCTACTATTCCAACGTATATAGTAGGTTTATTTTAGAATGTGAGCTCCCTTCAATCGTTCCCTCGGAATGTTGACTTTAGTTTCATTTCACTGGTATTCATTCTGGTGGTGGCTAACAGAGTCCTTGCGTCTGAAACATTAAGTGCATGACTGAAGTCCTAGTGCATCAGAAGCACCTATCACAATGATGCATCTGACGATTCCTAAACAGCTTTAAGTATGTTGCTGTTAGTTGTTTAGAGATAATAAACAGGAAATTCTGCTAGACGTAGGTTTTGCGGTTGTCGGCACTCTCATTAACAAGACGTATCTGCAACCATGAGGAAACTTGTTCTTCCTCGATGATTCAAAATTTCATTGCTTACTACTGAATGCAGTGAATTAACCACTAAGCAGCTCACGCCATGATTCGCTCACTGTAAGACTGAATAGTATACATGAGTTGGTCACCAGTGGGTAATTGCTGAGGCTGTCGAGCACATATTGGTTAGCACTGACACGTTTGTCAACCAACGTTCTACAACAAGGCGCTAAGCGAGATGATGTGATGGTGAAATGTACTGTAGTTAGGACCTAATCTGAAGGAAACTCTGAACCTAGATTTCGTGCCAACAAATATGAAACCACACATTTCACGGCTTAATGCTAATCGCTTCCATACAAATAACTTCAGGCCTCCAGCACACTTCTTTCTTAGATGAATTACAATGAAATTTTTTGTATAAAATTATTACAACTTTATCAGAGGTTGTATAAATTCATCTCCATGACTAAAATGTTTGAGAGTTTTGTGAAAACGTTAGCCGTACCAATATATGTGAAATATGATGACATGATCAACGAGAACCATGCAATGTCAAAATTCCTTGAACATTAGGTCCATTACTCAAGAGAAATTTGCTCAACAAATTATTGAAAATATTTAGTACATGTTGTTGAATCGACTTAGTCATATTTATGAAGTCAGGTTAAGTCCAAAACGCTGTCTAACTTACCTTTATTATTTGGAGAAACATTTGAGATCTAGAGACATTTAACATGTGTTTCGTCCCAGCCTGGGATTCTTCAGCGATTTGCACTAATACCTCTGCTAGGAATTGACTCCAGGATAAACGAATCTTCTGGCAGAATGAAAAATACAATCGAATTTAAAAAATCATGTATCATGTTTATTGCAAATCACAGGTATTTCGTAAATCTGAACCAATGGAACTAAAAGGCAGTGAATTTGAAATTAAGCAAGTGTTTTATGAAGCCAACGACTCAACAGCTATTCCAATGTTTATATTTCATCAAAAGGTAAGTAGAGTAATTAAACTTTTGATGGTTTTAATCATGTTGATATGTATGCATACTTGTAACTTCCAGTCTTCAATCAATGCAAGCGTTTGCAAGACCTTAAGTCCACGGTGAAGACGGCTCGAATAAATGGAATTATTTTATTAGCTTCAATCAACGTCTTCTTTAGAAAGTGAAATGTTAGCATAGAAAATTGTGATCTGGTTACAGTAGTTTTAAGAAGGCAAGTGAGACGTGAATGATACGTACTACTAGTGGCTGATATGAGTAGTTAAAAATCACTCACAATACTACTGGAAAAAAAGAATCAAAATCCGCTCAGCAAACTTGTACAAGTTCGTGCAGAAGGAAGATAGCTAATGATACTGCTTAAGTGCACAAACCTGGGTAGGTGAGGCCAGTTTCTAACCCATGAACCACTTGTTAGTAACCAGCTCTGTAAGCTAATTAACCACAATCCCACAAAGTTCTAATACTTACCTTTCTAACACCATGCTTCATGTCAAGTAGCTCGTAACCTGTAACTTTAACATCGTTTCTCTAAGAAAGACAGCATAATGGAACTTTACAAGAGGATTAAGCATCTATGTGTTATCCTCACAGTCAAAACGAGAATCATAGAAATATTTTTTTGGATTCACATAATGTTAGTCCACTTAAGTAGCTTGCAGGTTTAAGACAGTTTAGATGATTGAGCTTTATAAACTTCAAGTCGTCGATTCAGCTACCTGTTCCCTTTGATGGTTGATGACATGCTTTACCAGGAAGAGTAAGCTATTCAATTTAGAAGTTTGTGGGGATTTTATCGGTTTCAGGTTGAAACTCATCATAGACTAACATTAACTGGAGGAACAATGAAATACTTAGAAGCAAATTGATGGTGTAGCCATGGGGAGTCCATTAGGACCGTTATTAGCTGACGTATATATGTCACATACTGAACTAATGGCCCAAGATTTAATCACCAATGTCACACTTTACAGAAGGTATGTGGATGATATCCTTGTAATATGTGACACAGATGAGGATGCCAAGAGGTTATTAAAAAGGCTTAATACCGTACAAGATCACATCAGTCTGACATGTGAGGAAGAAAAAGATCATCAACTTGCATTTCTTGATATACTCTTGTGCCGGAGGGAAGATGGATCTTTAAAACGATCAATATATAGGAAGTCTACTTGGACAGGACAGTATTTGAATTTTCATAGTTTTTGTCCGATGAAATATAAGAGAGGCTTAGTAAGATGCTTGTTCAATAGAATCCAACGTATTTGTACATCTGATACGATGGATGATGAGAATAAGTTTCTGACAGACACTCTAGTGGAAAATGGTTATCCATTACAGTTTGTCAACCATTGTAAAAAGCAGTTGACCCCAAAGCCTACAGTTTCCTCGGTCCCAAAGAAAAGCATATTTCTTAAAGTACCATACAGAGGGGAAACAAGTAGTATGATATTGAAGCAGAGATTAAAATCTGTTATCAGTAAAACATACTATGCAGCTCAGCTTATAATTGTTGAGACGACAAAACACCTGCTTCACCACAAACCTCAACCTCGCACAAATGATTACATCACATCCAACTGCGTTTACCAATTTACATGTATGTGTGGGCACACATACATCGGGAGGAGTAATCGTTCAATGCAGACTAGGGTGGGTGAACACATCCCCAAATGGCTAGAAAAACAGTTTAACACACAAACTTTGATAAGTGCAGGTGACAGACATCCATCGTCATCTATAGCAAAACATATTATTGAAATGAATCACAAGGTTAATACGAAAACAGCGTTTAAGATAATATACAGGAATAATCAGGGGCGTATACTGAAGTTTGCCGAAGCGTTAGCCATTCGTAAACTTAATCCCCCGCTGTGTGTACAAAAACAGTTTGTTGTTTCACTTAATTTACCTTGGTAATCCTTATCTGATTATGTTACCAAGACTAGTGTCACAACCTTTTCATATTCATTATATTTGACCTTTAATTTTCATATATAAATTGACTTGACAAGTAAATGTGTGATCAGATTGTTCGAAATGTATTGCGCAAATACATCACATTTTTCAGATAATCTTCGTCTTCTAATAGCGTTATCGAAACTTATACATCATTTAAATGCCTTATATCAACATATTTCTCATTGTCTTAACTAGAACGACAACTGAATGCTTCACTTTTTGTCAATAACTTATTAGCACCTGATTATATTGATTTCCCGAAACGTAGGAGATTTTTGACTGCAGGGCTACTGAATGAGAAACTCCAGCTTAAATTATAATACATATGATACACGTTACTTATACCAGGGCATATAAGTAGTAAACAACATGATGAAGGTAACCGGGGACAAAGGTGCCAGTAACTGTACTTGTGTATCTCTCATTCCTACAGAGAAACAAGTGGAAAATCATCCTTTTATTAATACACTGTAGACAGTTATGACTAAGAATACCTATTAAGAGCATAGATTGAGTATGATTAGGTTGAAAATTGAGTGGGAATAAAAGCCACCACAAATGTAGAAGGTAGAGTAAAAGCTATCAGGTCACAGCAGAAAGTAGGCAAGAAATGGGAAACTGTTCACTTTGGATATCAAATAAAATTTAGTGGAAAAAATAAGTTAGAGGAAATGAGCCAAGATTGAGAAACCTGCCCATAAATTGGAAAAACGTCGTACTTCTTCACTGAGAGTTACGGCATGATCTGCTTGATCCAAAATATCAGGCAAAAGGAAATGACCGAATGCTAGTAGACGTCAAAAATAGGTCTAGTTGCAACAAAACTTTGAGGAAGAGATGCAGACAAGGAAGACTGTTGTGGGGCTACCAGAAGGACTGCAGAACAAGCTTACTGGTGTGGATGCGTTGTTGTTTGTGCTACTTAAACAAACACACATAAAAGAGTACACAGCAAACTATCTCTAAGAGAAGAAAGTGAAGTTACCAGATAATTGGTAGACATTCTGAGAATGAAAGAAAAAAGTATTAAAAGAAAATGAAGAAGGCAACTGACGAAGCAACAAAGTTTGAAAAAAAGACGCATATCGGAAGGTGTGACGTATGTTCAATATAAAGTTCTCATATCTTACAGGGACTCCATGCAATCCACTAATAATCACTTTCATCAGCCCTCATCTGTCTTCTTTTCATGCATACCTACCGTTTATGTCACAAATATTCCTATCAAATATTTCACGCTGTTAGAGTAATGTTACATTATAGTTATGTAAATGGCCATTATAGAAACCTTTAAAATAGCTATTAGTCGTTGAACGGAAACTGTGTGTCTTACAGAATGCCTTATACACAAAAACAAAATGAACTGGCATCTCTGAACACTAACTATCTAGTCTGCTGTTAATGATTTAAGAAGACGACGGAAAGATACTCAGTAAAGGAGTGAATTTACTTGGTGTGAATCGGACATCTATTTTTAATGATATGAGATGATGGAAGGTGAAACAAAAACCTAGGTTGAGACAGAATTCAAACCGACCCACCAAAATTTATAAATAAATTCATAAGAAATCAAAGGAAAAATATTGGCATTGGTAGTAGTAGTGGTAGTAGTAGTAGTAGTAGTAGTAGTAGTAGTAGTAGTAGTAGTAGTAGTAGTAGTAGTAGTAGTAGTAGTAGTAATACAGATGCTATTAATAATAATCCCACTACTAGTGGTAATAATGGTGACAGGGTTAAGAGAGAATTCAAAGCCTCTGCTGTGTTACCAACAAGGAAGGTACATCAGAAGCACTATGAAGAATTCTCAATAAGGCTGGGATTGAAGTGGCATTCAAACCAATACACTCACTTAGAAACAAGCTTTGTAGGTTAAAAGACCCTATTGATGCAATTGAGCAAAATAATCTGGTTTACCAGATTGCTTGCAATGACTGCGAGGTCAAGTACATAGGTCAAAGCAGTCGACCAGGGTCGATTAGAATAACAGAACACAAAAACTTAGCTAAGTCAAGATCAGTAAATCCTAATAAAATAAGAAATCTAGAGAAAATTTCGGCTGTAGCTCTGCATGCGATGACACACGATCACACAGTAGGGTGGGATAGGGTGACAGTGTTGAAAACTAACTTAGTTGGGTGGAGGGAGAGATTGATAACCGAATCTTTGTTTATCGAATCAACACCAAACACATGCAATCGAAATGATTCTCCACCTGTTCCAGATATATGGAAAATTCTACCAACCTTGTCATCACAGAGAAGGAGAGAAAACTAGGAATATATAAAGACTGTCTCGAAGTTGTGGAGTTACCTGATATGAACATGGACAGTAAATTGTGTCCGAAACGTTATCCAGTAAATGCTACTTTTTCACTGTGTAATATTTCTAATAAACAGACTAAAGTGGAATTACGCTCAACCACAGTGCCCAAGTTTTACATTTATATTATTCAAACCGGCAGCCTTTTTGTTATCACTGTGCCGCTCTTTTAGTCAGACTACAAGGTCCAGCTGTTGAACAAGCCATAAGTTCACTTCATTCATGAAGGTATCGCTAGGCTGTTCTGTAGTAGTATGACGCATTACCGTTCGTTCACCCATTTCCCCGGATAGAACTTTACATCCTAATCCAAATCAAGGTGAATTAGGAGAGAGGAAGAGTCATGTTGGCTATTGGTGGTATCATCTGAGATAGTCGCATCCTCGATGTTCATTTGATCTTCAATCATTATACTGCATGAATAATACCAGTTCACTAAACTATGACTCACTTTGGATAGTCCTACATAAAGTTTTTTGTAGAAAGCAATAGATTCAGTGCATAAGGACAAAAATTACTTTGGCTAAGCTTTTCTCTGGACTTCTTATCTTGTTAGAGTCTATTATACTATATTTGGCCAAGATTCTATGCCCTGTTTTTTCGACTAACCCTGTAATAACCGCTCCAACCTATACATTTGACCTGATAATTGTCCCATGGAATTTCAGACAACAAATTATTTTGTTTCACAGGCACCACAAGATACTACAAAGTTTATTTCTAATTCAGTTTGTACATTTCAAACCATTCCAGTTCAGGGCGTGCTGAGAATACTGCATACACACGCTGACATCTTTGCGATTTATAGTAGCAGTGTGAAGGTTTTGAACTGTTGTTGCGTAATATTTACATTATTGTTGTGTTTGTTATGTGTACCAGTCCCTTTTTTTTACAATATCTTATATATTTTTTGCGCACGCTACTGAGAAAGAATGCATTTAAGTATTGTGCAAAGTTTGAGATACGCTTAGTTAGATGGGGAATCTCAACCATTATTGTTGGTGTCCGAACCCACTTAATGTGTTCTACCCAGTAGTTTCCTGCCGTCAATATACACTACCGCATTAATATAAATGAGTTGGCAGTGGTAAGGAAATTGATTTGCTGCAGACATCTTCGAGAAACGACTGACAAAATCCTTAAATAAAACATACTTCGCCACCATGATTCCAATTGTTTTCTCCTACAAGAACCCTGTACGTTAATATGTGAAAGACAAGTCAACACACTCGGCCACATCAATGTGTGTATACCAGTTTACAGGCTCTTGTGGAGCTGAGTTTATCGACCGTACCATGCATCCAATTGTGAAACGTGTTGGTGAACACTATACAGCCTGGTCGACAAAGGGAGAACGGAAATATGTCATCACTTCAATAACAGAACACCTCGTGAACTCAGGCCATTTAGCTCTTCTAGAGAACTCATTCAAAATCTTCTACAGGCCTCGATCAAACTACTCGAAATGAGTAAGGTCAAGAAATTTGAGTAAAGATGAAGCATTAGTCATTCAGAAGTTCAAACTAGTGTTATGTGTCTAAAAACCTTTATCTTAGCTACGGCCATCATACAGGCTTGACTGTTATAGATTCACCTGTATTGTTTACTTTCCTACTCTGTCACAGATTTATCCTGTATCGCATTATTACATTAAGCTGAATAATACCTTATCTATTGTCCCACTCTAAACCTGAATGTGTATTATATAACTTCTTTTAGTTATTCAATATAGTTTGCTACAAAACAGGAAATAATTGTGGAACGTTTTTCCCACTGTTACATATATTTACAAATGTAGGTTTCAGTAAATGATTTTGTCGAAAAGGAAAATTTTCTTCTCTGCTACTGCGTTTTATCTTTTCTCTATTATCACGTGCGTATATTCCACTGAAACTGAATTTACAATTCCTATTTATTTACCTCCAAGTGGATATTTGTAATACTCTTTGCACAAGTCAAGAATAATATTACAAATTCAAAAATTAGCAGTATAATATCATTGTGAATTAATCTCAGGAACTAAATATTCGAAATTATAGTGTTAAATGATCTCGATAGCATCAAGATTGTGAATAAAGATTTTGCAAGATATAAATTGAACATAAATGGGATTAAACGTAAAATATTCTAACAGCAGTAGTCTGTGATGCTGATCCCAATGGAGGTAATCCAATCTAACAAAGGCTATTTTATGCATCTACATTTTCTTGTGATCTATTTTCTCGGTAATTTTCAGGATCTTATCATAACTGGTAAAAATCCATGTAAATTAACTGCGTTTGGTGGATTTGGTTTAATAAACCAGCCATATTACTCTGCTAGTGATTTATTATTTGTTGAACGATTCAAAGGAATATTTGTATTGGCTAATATACGCGGTGGAGGGTAAGTAGTTTTCTGCTTCGATTACTACTATCATTGGGTTTCACGAACCCGACAAACTGGTCTTAAATATTAATTTCATTCCTTACGTTTTGAATGATTGTTTTACCCTACTTCTCAAGGTCATCGTATTTCTGTCTAGCGTTACTTTCAATATATCAGTATTATCATTTTAGGACAAGGTACTGAAAACCATGAATATATAAATATGAGTGTTCTATATTATTTTTACTTTCAACTCAATCAGTAAACAATCTCAAGTAAGCTCTGCAGTCTTCCTGTTTTCTTCTAAATACATCAGGGTCTTGAAGTTAATATAGACTGGAACATTAAGTTGAAATAAGAAATTTCAAACACTCTGAGATTGGTTCAAATATAACTCATGTATAATGTTAACTTTTCACTCAGTACCCAATATTTGTGAACCTATCCGGTCAAATCGTGACCAGGATTCATATAAATTAGGTTGAAGAATTTAGCCTTAACAGGCATTGTGGCCAACCATTATTACTATTATAATAATAATAATAATTATTATTATTATATGTCCCTTGGGTTCCTAGTGTAAGATAGGGATTCAGTAGCACGCCTCGATCGCACTCTCTTCTCTGCAGTCTTTTGAACCTTGCTCCACAACTGCCCACAAGTTTTCATTTCTTCCTCACATCATCTCCTCCATGTCACCCACAGCTAGGACGCCCAGCTCGTCGTTTCCCCTCTTGGATTCCACTCGAGGGCCTGGCGCGTGGCCAACTATGACAACAGTTATTTAGAATATACTTTTCCATATTTGCTTGGAAAAGGCTAACGGCAGAATTTTGTTCTTCTGCTAGTGGTTGGGAGACTTACATAACCTATATATCATACAAACCATTTTGCTAAGCATTTCACATCTTGATATGAATTATGCTTAAAGTAAAGGACCTTCTATGCTAAACTCCCATGGATACTGTTGTGATATCTGGCAACTTTCAACTGATACACACTTTCTGTCTGCTTGTGTGCATATAATAATCAAAATGTATTCTGCTTCCAATGGAAATGCCAATGGTTTCATTGATTAAAACGTTTTTTATCAAACAGAAAACCTAAATATTGCTTTCTGATAGCAATCCCATTTTGGTTAGCATTGTACATTGAGGTTAGAGGTATTGCCACAAGCACAAAAGTATTCAAGACACCTCAGTCGGTACTGAGTCACAACTTCACAAAATGAACTGCCTTCTTTGCCTAGTAGCTTACATATAACTCTGAAACTGAGCAAACGGTGGTTCCACCATACACTAGTAGTGGCACTGGTGGTCAAACACCAGTAACCTATATATTCCTTTGACTTTCAGAGTCCATTTCTGACAACCGTATAATATATAGTCAGATATTTCGTCTGAACCACAAATGGCTTAAGTTGACAAAACGGGTCTCTGGTATCGAGCTGAAATTTCATCAGCAGCCAGTTTGTTCGAGATGACGAAACTTTCCAAAATGTGAAGTGGTCAACGCATTTTACCACTTGACTCCCTATCCTTAAACTAGGCGCAGCCGTAGACTAGTACTCAAGTATTATCTTATATTTGAGAGATGTAAAAAGCATACCAAAACTCAAGTAGTACAGAGGCTGAAGGTTAATGTGAACAGCTTCAAGCACAAAGAGATCGTACCTTTCTGTTCATGTTTCTTTTACCAAACTGTCTATGATTTGTAATCTACATGTGACTATTTAATCTGATTGAGAAAAAGGTTAGAAGTCTTCAATATTATAGGGCTAGTGATAACTTTTGTTGTCTTTTATTGGGCATGGTAAGAGGAGTAACAATATTGATCTTGGTGACTGGCAGAGGAATCCAGGACGCGCATTTCATCCTATATGGGACCCCCCGGCTGGATGTACCTGCACCGCAGTGAGTGATGTTGTTCCCTTTGAGGTCAAAACCCAGTAACCTACGCTTGAAGCGCCAGAGCTCTGTCCGCTTCTAGTCCAACAGGAACCAGCTGTTATGATGATAATTTTAATTTTCACGTTATCATACAGGGCCGAATTGCTCGACCTTTGTCCTTATTCATAATACGTTCCTTGCCCGCTGGTGGTTAGCCGTTGAATGTACAGGAGGTGCGTTTCTTTCAACTTTGTAAACGTGGTTTGATTACAAGTGTCATGATAGGTGAGAATTAATCATAAAACAGCGTAGAAACTAAGTAGATTAGCGTTTTTTTTAGTATGAAGTCAATAAATATGCCGAAATAACTTCATGGTAGAGAATGACCAGGGTAATTGTTCTGATTTTCTTACGCTGAAGAATTCTGAAGGAAAAGGCAAACTCTACTTTAAACCTCTTGATCATGACCAAGGTAAAATGCAAAACAAGGACGGGACTAGTTCCTTTCGTGCACATATTTCCAATATCACCATGCATATAGAAAGAATCTGTGTAATGCAATGCAAACGAACTGAGAGTATAACGTTTTCGGTAGATTTCTTTCCATTTTTGTCTGTTTATTCTGTCATACAGTGAAGCAGCAGTATCATTTACTAGATAACGTTTTGAACATAATTTTTTGTTCATGTTGATATCACACCTGATATGAATGAATAGGGCAATAAATTGTGTCCGAAACATTATCCAGTAAACAATACTGTTGCTTCATTACGTGATATATTTCTACCAAACAGACTAACAAGGAACTACAATCAAACACCGCTCCCAATTTTTACTCCTAAATGAAGATTTATTTCCACTTTGTTAATTAATTTGAACAAAAAGTCTTTTGTGAACTTGTGGCCAGTGTTGTTTATGTGTACAACGATGGCATATCTGATAAATTTCCGTCACCTCTTAGCAGCTATGCACGATACTGTTTTCAATACTGTTTAGAGAGAAGACATTTTGAATGTTCACTACACCTAGCTCCCGAGGTAAGGTAGGTATGATTATTGAAGATCTACAGTATTCAACAACTGCCAGCTTTTACTCATGACCTTGAAGTACAGTAACTAATTGTCTCTAACGTACCACCCACTCTGTAATAAATTTCACAACAGAACTTGAAATCTAATAATATTGTTTGTAACATATCGTCTTTGATTGGACCGAATTGATCGGTCTCTATTGACATATGGGCTCATGTGCGGATGTCTTGATATTACTTGTGTTCTAATTATAGTAATGATGAGTCATCTGCACAGGAGCCCATATGCCAATGGAGACTGATCACTTAGGTCCAATCAACGATGATATAATACAAGCAATTATTCTAAAACTATGCATGTCGCACAAGAAGTGGATATTGTGGCTCGGTGGTGTAGTGGGTAACGCTCTGACGTTCAAAGTGGTCAGTTCCCAGTCCAAATCCCAACCAGAACAGTATCAGTGACTGGTATGCAGCTACATCCAGCTGGCGAGTCCCAAGTAGGACTAAATTCGCATCCTAGATCCCACTGCTAACCACAATCGTCATTAACAGAACTTGAAACCTACCTTCAAATATGATAATAATTGCTGGAGCTAACTAAATCATTTAATCTTTATTTCTAAAAGCCGCTTTTTAAATCTTTTCTGAATAAATCAGCGAAGTATTCACCGTATACTTCCGTACGAGACGGTGAGAGCTGTATATATGTTGGATTCCAGTTTAAATTGGCTATCATTTCCTTCTTCATACAGAAGTTTGCTTTGATTGCACAGGTTTCTATAGTTATAGACCTCTGGTTGTGCTGTTGTCTACTGGTAACCGTAGGGCACTCAAAAGCATACATAGCACGCGTATAGTTCATTAGATGTTTCACTATAGGGCTTTAGAGGACCTTTTTTCGCTGCATTGCTCAACCATTTAGATAGGTATTCAATCACTAGAGTAGGCAGACACTTCTCCTCATGACCTATGCATTTAATTCTGTAGACACAATTGAAATGGTATATGCATCTAGAGATGCTTAAGATCGGATTGTTATATTACTAGTTTAGTGGTACTGAAGAACGTGAGTTTCGTGGTATAATATGTTTCTCTGATGGATTTTCCTCAATCTTCGTCTAACTATTTCTGGGATATCATCACCTTTAAATAGAAAGATACTAGAGACTAACATCTTTAAAACTGTGAAGAACACGATTTTATTGTCTACCCACTTCGTTTTATTAACAAGAATATCTTCTAGAATATTTTTCAAGACCTTTATATTAAATCTAACTGTGCTATCAGTACTGATTTCTCTGACTACGTCAAATCATGTTTTAAATAAATTCTTCTCGTAGTGGATCTGAACAAAGGTCTTAGAATGGAGTTATTGCCGCGTTCACGATAGTTTTTTTATAAATGAACATTTCGATAGATATCTTAGAATCTGATAAGGTTATTTTCTTTATACTCTGTTGAAAAATTCAGATTTGGGTGATGAGTTAAAACTATAAATTAACATTTCCAAATTCAGTTTGCTTCTACAAACAATGTAACACCGGTACAGGAATGTCAGCATTGTTGTCTATTCATTTTTTTAAACAATATTTTTTAGTTAAACAAGAAGTTTGTGCTATAGCAAAAGGGATTTCGATGAACTCTTCTGGTTAAGATTAAAAGCTGAAGTTTGATTCCATTAGTAATATCCAAGCGAAAATTTTCACTACTTAAGTAACTCAGTAGTTTGTATAGTCCATAGATTTTTAAAATACCCATAAATTTGTTTATATATTGAAATGAAATAATTTACAATACTTTATATTTAGTGAATATGGCAAGCAATGGCATAGAAAAGCAAGTGGAATTACGAAATCATTGGCTGTTGATGATATTATTGCAGCAGCAGAATATTTAATTCACAAAAAATACACTAATTCAAACAAGTAAGTATTATTTTGTTTAAATATTTGAATTGTTGTTCAGTGTTATATGTACAATACAGTACAGTCAAAAAAGGCTTTTAAATAGAGAGAACAAATGTTAAAGACCAAGTTATTACTGAATATAAATTATTATTATTTACTATTTCTCCTTTAGGTTCCTAGTGGAAGATAGGGATTCAGTAGCACGTCTCTATTCAACTGTGTTCTCAGCAGTCTTTTGAACCTCTCTCCACAACTGCCCACAAGTTTTCATTTCTTCCTCACATCATCTCCCCCATGTCACCCACAGCTAGGACGCCCAACTCGTCGTTTGACCTTTGAATTACACATGACAGTCTGGCCAGGTGCGTGATGTCCTAAATGGTCTTCCTTCTTTGGGAGTTTGACAAGGTGGCCCTTCTTCCAATCTGCAGGTATTTTTCCTTCTTTCCAAACCTTCTGCAATAGTGGTGTGAACATGTCTGCAGATATCTCGGCATCTGTTTTCAGTGCTTCTGGAGGAACTCCATCTGGTCCTCCTGATTTCCCGGATTTCACCAACTTTATGAGGTTCAGGACTTCGTCCATTGTCAGTGGGCTTGTGTTCACTGATAGTTCTGCGGTTATTGATGATATTTCTGTACGAGTTGCAGGTGGTGGTGGTGGCCAGTTCAATAGTTTTCTGATGTGGTCAGCCTATCGTTTCCTTTATTTTTTCTCTTTAGCGGTAACTAAGTTTCCTTCACTATATTGTATTGGTTACATCTGTGCTGTGTTGATCTCTTTCCAGATAGTAACCTGGTTATTTGATATATTGTTGTCAGGTCTCTATCTCTCTCACCTGCAGCCTGTTCTGCTTTACTTGCAAGTGTATCGTAGAAGTGTCTTTTGTCTTTGCATGCACTCTTCTTCACTTCTTTGTCCAGTGTTTTATACGTTGTACTCAGTTCCTCTCTTCGTTGTTCGTCCCTCCACTGCACTGCACTCGTCCATCTTCTACTTCACCATCTTCCTCTCCTCTCCTTCATCAGCTTCCGTGTGTCCGTCGAGATCCATTCCTTGTCTTGCCCCTTTTTCTTCCTTCATAACACGGTTATGCAGGTTTCCTTCCACATCTCTTTCAAATAGTTTCAGAGCTCTTCCACGGAGGTTTCTTCTCTGATGTTCCTCAATGTCTCCCATTTTTTCTTGATGGTCGACTGACGTGAAGATGTCATCTGGAGTTTCGTCCTTCAGTTTTTGTTCTGTGTTCAACTTGAACTGTGGTCTATCACCAACTTCTTTCAAGGCTTTCAACTTGATTTTGAAGGTAGGTTGCCTGCACTAGATAGTGGGTGGTTTAAACCTGCATCTGCTCCCCTTCTTCATCTGATCTTGTGTCCAGTAGGCTGGCTGCGTCTCCACTTTCTTCACAATGATATGAAGTCGATCTGATTTTTGGTGTAGTGTGTCCATCTGGTGAAATCAAATCCATGTCGGTTTGTGAATATCCTTTTGTTTGTACATACTGCCTCACCTCCAATCACCAAAACGTTGAATGCGCAGAAATATGCAAATAGTTCTCTATTCTCATTCATGTCACCGAGTGCTTCTTGACCCATGTTTGGTCCTCTTCCTTTGTTGTCCGCTCCCAGTATGGCATTCGTGTCACCCCACCCATTAGAATTTTGATATCGCCAACTGGAGTCTTGTCCAGTGCTGATTACAGTTGTCTGTAGGATTCCTCCTCCTTCTCTTCATCTGCATTATTTGCAGCTGTCTAGCATTGTATGATTGTGATTTCCCTTCCACTTTGAGTTGAATTTTGCTGTCATGATCCTGAAGGAGGAGACTGGTTCCTATTGCATGACAGCCTTCGATGAACTTGGAGACATCGTGATAGCCACTCGAAAACTCAGTGTGCTCATGGTTGTCGTTTAGGTGACACTAACGTAGTAGACTACTGACCCTCCGTTTAACAGTTTGGACAGTCCACTTCCATTCCATCTGCTTTCCCAAATTTCAAATACTTCTATGCCATACCTTCTCACCCCTTTTGTAATCTGGGCAGCCTTACTAGGCTCAAACACTGTTCGGACATTCTATGTCCTCATTCTTACTTTTGGTTTCAATGAGAGAAGAGAAGGCACAGGCCAATTGGCTTAGTGAAGGCTTTCATCAACCGGCATCATTTCTTCCCCCGATTCCAGTGAGGAATAAGTTTAGATTTATTTTTTTATACTTACTCTGTGCTTTGGAGTTTCTTTAGGGATTGGATTGGTTTTAAGGGGTTGGGGTTGCTAGCCCTATGCCCAACCTTCGCTTTTTATCTGAGCTTAGGACTGGCTAGTAACTAGTGAACCAGCGAAATAGGGAAGGTTACTTACTTACTTACTTACTTACTTACTTACTTACTTACTTACTTACTTACTTACTTACTTACTTACTTACTTACTTACTTACTTACCCATCCACTCCGTTACCTACTTACTTACTTACTTAAAACACAAACTTAATACAATATGGTTGGTAAAATATTCACCATACAAGATAATAAGTTATCACTAAGAAAACAAAAAAATGGTGTTTTAATGGGAGATTCTGAACGGAAACAGAGGCAGAGATGGGTTATTAAACAGCCTGTTTTAAAGATTCCTCCAAAGGAGCACTTTCTTACTTAATTCATACCTTACAATTACAGAAGAAACAGAATGACCACCGCTGAACCATGTTTACTTACCGTTCAAGCTATTGAATCGGTTGACTTCACAGATATCATTCACGGAGTTGTAGGCCACATAGAGATACTAACCAAACGCAATCACCATTCATCCCATAGCATCACTTTACATTATGGCCACTTCTCTGCTGTATCTGGCTATTTGGAAGGCATGTAAACATTGACGGATGTAAACACCTCTGCAAGGGCGTTCATAACACGTTTCTCAAGCATCACAGTAGGTTCTTCAAAGCAAGTTCACTTAATGGATGACAGTCTTCATTATACTCAAACTCGCTTCATCTCATCTCACAACTACTTAAATCGTGTTTCCAAGGGATACAAGCAATCCTAAGGAGACAATACTGATCGGACATATGAAGTTATTAGACATATGCACCTTAGAAGCACTAAAGCTGACGGGTGAAAGATAGAATCGCCTGCACCAGTGTGCTGTATCGTCGACCTTTTACAGATTAGGTGATTTCACGTAAGGTGACACAGATCGAAGTATGCCACTCTCGTTTTTTATGTCTACCCAGGTGGACAAACTTTTCAACAACTTCCAGTGGTTCACTACCGCAGACGAGTGCAGGTATAGGTCTTACCGATCTTGTTAAAGTGCTTTAAACATGCGATTATTGCACACATTGATCTCTAAGAGATTGAGTGCACTCTGCGTAATATGTATGTTGTCACATAGTAGAAAAAGAATATCATCCGTATACTAGACATCGAAAAGCCTTCCATTTGTAGACACGCCCACACCACCACTCACCTTATTCATAGCCATCTTAAGAATATCACCTATGGCAAACCAAAACGACGGTTGTGAAATCAGGCAGCCCCGCCAACCCACACTGTCAGCATGAAACAATGAAGAAAGGTGGTTGTATCTCCTAACTCTACCTGGTCTGTTTTTGCATGTAGTTTACAAGATTTTGGCAAACATTTTAAGGACACTCCTCCCAAACAAGCAATTCCACAGCGCAATTCTGTCCAAAGAATCAAATACAGACCTTATATCCAGAAATAAAGCAAACGTTGCCCTGGAGCATCTTTGACAGTGTTTGAGCATCTGATAAGACTATCAATCCACCCATGACATGAGAGAAATCCGGCTTGGTAGCGGATCAATTTCTTACGCATTTTGCACAGCCTGAGACGTACTCCAGCAACTAATACTTTAGAGGCTAGCTGCAGCTGGCTTGTACCCCAATGATTCTCACACAAATGATGCACATACATTTTAAAGGGAGGTACAACAAGGGGTTTATTCCAGAGTTATGAAACACTCTCAGTCTGTTATACTTTTTTAAACAGGTTTGTCAGTTCTCTGACTACAGTGCCTCTCCAATCCTAGAAAGGAGCTGCGGATAAGTTGTCTGGGTGGGTACTTAATGACACTTTTAGTCACTGGAGTTCGTTACAGACCTCGACTTCGTTATATGAGTCTGTGTTGACTGATTTTGGAGCAAAATACAATGTGGTTGATTTCTTGTGATAGGTAAATTATATTTCAAAGTGTTCCGTCCAGTCTTCAGGCGTCTAAAAGGTTTGTCTCTCAGAGTAATATCTGTCTCAAAAACCATTTAACTGACATCAAGTTTCTTGTCGCCAATGGCTCAGATTATCTGAAACAATTTAAGACTATTTTCTGATGTAACTACTCCTTCCAGTTCTTTCCCGTCCTCAACCACCAGGCCTCAAATTCACTAAGTAAATGCTGCTTGATCTTTCTCTTAAAAAAGATATGCATATCGTCTGTGCTTGTTGTTTACTGGAATACACCAAAAAGTGTATAGAAGTCTCAAAGAGCTCCTATAAACCTTTTATTTATTACTGGAACTTTATTCAAAGTCATAGGTGACTTGTAGATGCAGTCAATGTCCACTAGTATTTTCTGGGAGATGTTGGCCTTGAACTCATCTCGTCTTTACATTTAGTTGCATTGTTAGGAGCAAGCAGTTTAGTTACATCGGTCAGCTAGGTTGACGATTTCGATTACCATAAAAGTACAAGATGAAGTCAGCAACTATTGAAGCTTTCGCCCAGTTCAGATATTTGCTTCAAAAAGAGCACTAACGCCATCGATAGCTGATTAAAATATTCTCTATTTGAGTTCAGGCCTGCTTTGCAGAGGGATTACGCCAGGTAGCGAATTGGCATGATTGTATCTAACGTTGCTGCCGGTTAGAAATTGGTTGTTATCTGCACAAGGATGAAGAAGACAATTTCCACTATATGACCTGAAATCGACTATTTCTGTTGGTCTGACCGGTGCATTCAGTTTCCCAGCAAGTTATACGAACGCACTTCGCAGAGACAGTTATTCAGAGGGCGATAGAACTCATCCTTAACATTATCCAGGCTGCAATCAGTCAGGCTAGGCGTAGACACGATGAAGAGATGTTATTTCTTTTGTCAGTTACTTCTCGCTTCAAGGGAATCCTCCAGCCTAGAGGTACACAGACTACTCTTGATGAAGATCAACTTGACTAATACAGCTTCAGATTTGACAATTAATGTGATACGTACATTGGAAAAACCAGATCCTGATGCCACAGAGTCTCTGAAGAAGTGCACATTAAACATATTTTAACAGATTACAGGTGTGCAATTATTGGCAGGACTTAACAGGAATCCTTCAAGAGGTTGTCTGAAATAGATTTTACTTGAATAATGAAACTCTTCAAAGTCCTAACTAAACCTGTTTTCAGGTTAGAATTCATTATGGGATGATATCATTTGGAGGAACATTAGAAACCTGGGAGCACTGGACAGCTGTTTCGTTTCAAGTGTATGGGACTCCTCACCATGGGCGCCCATGATCCTGCCGCACCAAAGACCAAACCCAGGACCTTCAGGTTCCGTGGCCAGCACGTTACCGTTGAGCCGCGGGGTTGGAATCCAGTTGTTCACATCTCCTACTTCTGTCAATTCACAATACACCGAGACCTACATCCAATGTCGTCGTTGAGTAACTGTCTTGGTGGTCGACTTGGTTGAGTTCACTTATCATGACTTCTCATTGGGACATCGGGAATTATCTCCCTAATGGGTTCATGGGTGCGCACTGCTGACGAGTCCTATGATAAGACGAAACAGCTGTCCAGTGCTCCCAAGTTTTCAGTGTTCCTCCATCTGATATCAGTCCATGATGAATCCCAACCTAAAAACCAATTAATAAATCTCCATAAACCTCCAGGTAGAATAAACCTGTTTTTGTTAAAACTGCATCAATGTCCGAAAGTTGAAGATAGTCAAACTAAATGGTACAGACGTTTTCGAATTGATTGAGTCATATCTCGCACTAAAGGATAGCCTTCTCGAAGCAACTGTTCATCAACTCAAGACAGTTTTGACAGGCTAGAATTGTATGAAGTGACGAGCAACTGAATAAACCAGAGCGACAAGTAAAGCTAAACTTGATGGTGATAAAGAAAAAACGGTGTAGTAATGGTGGATAGCGACTAGCAGTGGAATCCAAGATGAGCATTTCATCTTATTGGAGGTCCGTCAGCTGGATGTAACTGCATCCCAGTGAGTCATGTTGTTCCCACCGGAATTTGGACTTGGGAACAATCACTTCAAATGCCAGAGCGTTATCCACTAGACCACCGAACCACGATAGCGACGACTTGTGCAACGGGTATAGTTTTAGTATAATTGTTTTTAGATTATACCGTCTTTCCAGTCAACAAGGGTATGATATAAAAACAATTATACTAAAAGACAGTATAGTAGAGATGTGAAAATAGTGACAATAAAAAACATTAGACCGGATTATTAAACCAAAGTTCGTTCGTTGAACAGTGAATTGACTTTATTTCAAGAAGATTTGATGAACCTTTGTATCCTTCGTCAGTTGATGTTGATGAGTAAACTAAACAGTCTTGATGAGGATACAGTTGGAGTTAGTGATGACTTCTCACTGAAAAACGTTTTTTTCATAAATATAGAATGCAAGATCAAACTTATAACTTTTAAGGTAATGTAAAATACTAGTTACATTTATTTTCATTAAACTGGTTGTACAAAGACATCTGAGTAAATAATTTTGATAGTTATGGATGAGGATTGCTTAGTTTTAGAACGGTTCCTCATTGTAGATTGACATCAGCTAGAAAACCAGTAAAAACTATGGACTATTAGATGGTTATCTTATTCAAGTTTACTGGTCTTTATTATAACTTCACAAATTAGAGATCCCAGAACCATTAGGTCTCATTGATAGTGCGTTATCGATGAGCTGCTGATTCACAGTTTCAAAATCCGATCAGTTCTCAGTATGACATTCTTCATTCAAGGACTTATCTTAGTCGACCCCTTACATGACAGCTTCCTACTGATTAGTAAGCAGAAAAAGTTTGTCCACTTGACTAGTCTATGAAGAACTGTTAGGTTTTAAGGTAATTTTGATTGCAAAATGAATTTAGATGGATATCTGTAAGAAATGACACAGTGGTGGATCACTACTCCGAGGTAGTTTAAGACCTTTCAATATGTTCTAAACTGAATGTCAAGATGTAAATGAAGTTTAGCTTACCCATAATTTCTTGAAGGTCTACTGACTTCTATCTACTTGTGAGACAACCTAAAACCGTTATGTAAGCATGTGAAACATGTTTGAATAAGTATATTGACAGAAAGATGAATTGAACGAAGTTTCGCTACCGGAGGACCCGTTGACTTTGTAAGTTGCTGAACCATCCTACTATGATACTGTTTTGTACCAAAATTAATGACTCACGCCTTGCTGAAAGTACCTTACCGGGACTTATTGACTAATTTCTTGTCACACTAAATACCTCTCAGTCATTGGCAAAGATTAGAAGTATTCACAGTTCATATCCCTAATCCATCATGGAGTACCTTATTAGATTAGATTCAGATACAAAATACGGATGAAAATTAAATCAGGAAGTCTTAGTCAAGGTTGACTGAAATCACATAGTACTTTCGCAGTTTTTTATAGGGGACCATCTGCTTACTAGGTACTGTCTCATTGGCTTGCCATTTTGATATATCCAGATGTGTAATATTAAATAGAAGGGAACGCATGTCATCATTCTCGCTGCTAACTTCTACTAGAAGACATTCAGGTAAAAATCATGTCAATATACATTTACAGCTGCAGAAAGGTGTATATTTACCCAAAGATAGGTAGATGAACTCTAGCCAGTAATTTTGATACACCTTTTATGACCTCTAATAACCTCAAGGCAAAAAGCGCAAAAACTAAAATGGGACTCAATAACTACGCCAGTGTCTTATATTGATTCTTTCATCTCCGTTGACATGATATTATTACTATTATTGCGTTTATTTGTTTACTCTTTTTGGCTGTGTTAATTTAGTCTTATCCTACAAGGCAATGAAAACGGTGGCTTATTGGTAGCATCATGCGCTAGTAAAAGGCCAGATCTATTCAAAATTGCCATCTTAGATAATCCATTAACAGATATGCTTCGTTATTATAAATACTCATCAACAGGTCGATGGATTAAAGAGTACGGCAATCCATATCATGAAGAGATGTTTAATGCATTGTATAGGTGGGTTAAATTTGTTTAAATTTAATGAAATATTTTACTTGCATAAATAATACTTGGAGTGCTCCTGAACACATTCAAATTCCAGCTTAGCCAAATCTAGCCTGTTCCGTTTTTAGAATATTTCAGACAAGTACTCAGCTTCTAAGTGAATAATCCTCATGATTGAGACAACTAAATCACCGTCAATTCTTCGTTTATGGAATCAAACACATGAAATGACAGATGGGGAGAAAATATCAACATAGGACTAATGATTACTGCATAACGGTTCAAGTTTCCACATTTCATGTCAACACATCACACGAGAATACATCAGTATGAAAGATAGAGAAATGAAGAAGAAACCAGTCAAAAGTTTAAGAAAGGTAACAACAAGGAATAAGACAAAAATAAGGCTTGATACTAGGATAAAGACAAGGCTAAATTATGAGTATATCTACCCTAGTGAAGTTGATTCTGAGCCACTTCATCTAGAGTTTTTAACTGCTGGTTTCTTTTGTCACGTGGATCTCAACCGGGAAGTTTATATTTACCCATATAACTCAGACCAGCAGTGAGGGACGTCATGGAAGGACATCATTTTTTATTCTGGCATTATCTAATGCTTTTCCAGCCTTAATCTATTTCAGCTGACATTATACAATGAGGTAGATGATGACCAGGCATTCATAACACACGTCGCAGTCACCTCAGAGTACGAAAGTTTACAAACCTATCCACTTTCTCTTCTCCATACAGCTCTGCACCTGATTTTATCGTTGCCCACATGGTGAAAACGCGACGCATAGCCCTACTATGAAGGCAGTGGTGAACGACTACATGAAGTGTCTAGATGTCTTATACCTCTAATGACCATGCTTCACAACCACATTGTAGAATAGAGCGAGCTATAACACAGTACACTCAACCCTTAATAGGCGTTGGGTACCATGATAGAGCGAAAATGGTGTTAGTTGGGTAAAGCCAAGTAAGCTTTCTGTATTCATGCAGGAATTTTATCGGTCACTGACCACAAGTGTTCCTCCAATTTCTTAACTTAGTGAAGTGGTTAGTGAGCTCAACTGTTCCACTCACTATTGCTAGAGAAGGCAAAACTGAAGACCAGTTTTAGGACAACAATATGGATTTGGGTGGTGGAAAACGCACCTAAAATTATTCTCCAGTTGACACTGAAGGTGTTCGGTCGACTCTGCATTTTGTCAGGGTCGTAACTTAGCAGGATCATATCATCTATGTACTCTAAGGAGTCATCTTAATCCTGTGTGTTAAAAAGCGTGAAAGTTAATTTATAAACTTCATAGCAACAAACAAGTAACACGGAAACAAGGTGCACTACAGTGTCATGCTACTTGCTACTTGAAACATCGAAAACTTGCTCAGTGGACTCGAACAAACAAGTGAGATTTGTGAACTATATTGAATTTCCAGTGATCTTTTCTCGTACTTTTATGTGTCAGCAACGGTGGTGGTGGTTATTCACTCAAATTAAAATTTGGAGGTGATCAATACCTGAGTTTGATCACTTAATGATCTCAACTACCTGGCTACATACTACCATGAAGCAAAAGTTAGTATGAAGGAAGAATATTCTTTTCGAAAAGATTTTTATTGGTCAAAGAAGTACCGTAAACTTTAGAGCACTTTTTTGACATAATTAGAAACTCCTTGGTAGTGAGTACCCAAGAACTTGTGAGGGAATGAACCTAGGACTGTCAGGTTTGATAATGAGCACATTCTCCCTCAGCCACTGGGTGGAAGGAGGAATACAGTGTCTCACGTTTTCCATCTCATGATCAATAACATGGTCAGTAACATTGGAAAATGGTTGCACCGTAGTTATAATTGATAGAAGTTGGAAAAAAATTGTCACCAAGATTCCAGAATAAAACATTTGAAAGCTATGCAGTAGGTATGAAAAAACAATGAGGACAGTGACATGAATAGAAAGTTACAGTGAACAAGTTTATGAGTTTTACTCATCAGCTTTAAGTGTGATCACTCTCTTTGGAATAACTATTTAGCAAGACCACAGAGCTCGGCAGATAGTATGATTACGACAAACGAACAGTCAATTATCACGTATTCATAAAAAAGTCGGACGAAATCCTCAGCGATTGAAGTGAAGTTAAGAGCTGATCACTGGCTGTGCCTCATACCTCAGATGTCAGATTAAAGGTCAGGTAACTTATAAGCCTCTTACAAGAATATCAGAAACTTTGATGCAACGGGAAAAATATCATAAGATCCATTCTTGAACATCTCTTCATCTCTAAAAAGCAGTCCTCTGCCAGTAGTTCCATCAAATAAATTTACAGATTACCTCTCTACAATTTTGAAGGACTTGAACTACAGCATCTATACACATCTGAACAATCGGCAATACACAAATTTAAGCCTCATCTTTCTTTTCAAAAATAATAACATACATTTATTAGCTTCATAATGATGAAAGTTAGGATTCTCTTCTGTATTTAGAAAAGTTTTACTCCACTATTGTATAATTTAGTAATCACGTGTTCAGATCGATTAATTTTCGATGATCTTGAATGCAAGAAATGTCAGACATTTGGTTCTCCTGACAAGTTTGAATAATCCAAGAACAAAGATGCTTACAGACTAAAATGAGTTCATTTTATTTCACAACCTCTCATCACCCAGATGTAAACTGCCTACAGTTGAAATGAAGTACTATTAGTCATAATGATACAAAATACTTTAAATATGTAGAAATAAGTGAAGATTTGAAAATTGGGATTATCAATAGAGTATTTATTCATTGAGTCAATGAAACACAAGATTTGTCTTTCTCCTATCTTCACTTCAAAGTTGTCACTGAGCTTTCCATTGTGTTGTGAATCACCCGGCATATGGTGTCTTCATATAGCTGCTCTATAGAGCGAATAAATTCGTTTTCATTAATCGTTTCGTTTTTGAATATGTACTAATGGTCATAGAATTCCATTGGTCTTTGAAAAAGATTTTTTCAGTTATCTTAATTACATTTTTCACTGGTGTCAACTGGACGTTTAAGCAAATAAACCTCTAAAAAGACAATGCAAGAAAAAAGATATTTGCATAACAGATTGAGTTCACTTAATTTCATGGCCTCTCATCAGCTAAAAACAGCCTACAAGTGAAATGAAGTATGCATTAGTACTAGTAGTAGTGATATACTCCGAATATGTAGACATAAATGAAGATTTGAAATTCATAATTAACAATTAAATTGGGAATTGAGGAAACTCAGGACTAATAATCATAAGTCTTAGTCAAAATCATCAATTTGCATTCGATGAGATAGAAAATTCTGGAGCTGTAGAGTAGGGAGAGGGGGAGAGTAGACAGACAGGAATGTAAAAGAAGAGGTTGCTTAAGGGCTAGTAGGTTACGTAAGTACACGATAAACTGGAAAACCGTTAAGTGATTAAAAATCGGTAAGTAATGAAGAGATGATTCTTTCAAAAAAACGAAGACTGTATACATACACATGCAAAAAAGTATCTACATTTACCAAAGTAAAGAAGAGTTAATTACAGTCTCCTTCTGAGTACATAGATCAGGTTGAAAATGTTTCATGGAGAGAGTTTCCGAGAGCTGTAGTAAACATGGAGTTAGTTGTTTGTTGATTATCCTGAAGGATTGAGAAAGATCTATATGATGTCCTCTTTCCACCAGGTGCCTGGTGATTGGGTTGGTCAAGACCTTGCTATCTTTCAGACACAGATTTCTTGGAATATGACCATAAAATCAAGCAGACACCCTTCTTTTGTCCAGTCCTGTGTACTTGCTTCCACAAGTACATTTGAATTGATACATACAGTTGGAGGCGGCGTGATCTGGGTATTTGTCTACTTTCGACTGTGTTGTTGAGTATACTGTATTGTGAATTAAGATCATTCGGGTATCAGGGAAGGTCCTTCTTAGCACAGCTTTTACTCTTCTGTCTATTCATTCAAATATCTCATCACTCTTGAATGCTAGAGGGAAGAAAATAGATTTCTTTTCAACAATTGCGCGTTTAGGTCATCATCATCTTATGAAACACAAATTGCCATTGATTTTGACTAAGATTTGTGATTATTAATCTTGTGTTTCATTGACTCAATGAATAAATACTCTATTGATAATCCCAATTTTCAAATCTTCACTTATTTCTACATATTTAAAGTATTTTGTATCATTATGACTAATAGTACTTCATTTCAACTGTAGGCAGTTTACATCTGGGTGATGAGAGGTTGTGAAATAAAATGAACTCATTTTAGTCTGTAAGCATCTTTGTTCTTGGATTATTCAAACTTGTCAGGAGAACCAAATGTCTGACATTTCTTGCATTCAAGATCATCGAAAATTAATCGATCTGAACACGTGATTACTAAATTATACAATAGTGGAGTAAAACTTTTCTAAATACAGAAGAGAATCCTAACTTTCATCATTATGAAGCTAATAAATGTATGTTATTATTTTTGAAAAGAAAGATGAGGCTTAAATTTGTGTATTGCCGATTGTTCAGATGTGTATAGATGCTGTAGTTCAAGTCCTTCAAAATTGTAGAGAGGTACTCCTTGTACTCTGTCATTATTGCTGCGAATACTTCATTTCAATTGTGGTCTGTTTCCAGCTGATGAGAGGCTGTGAAATAAGATAGGCTTATTTTGTTCTGTTTTTGCATTTCTCAGGTATTAAATTCGACTAATTTTAAAACTTCATTATATTTAAAATCGTCAGAAAACAAAGTTTCTGAAGTTACATTTCTTTTCTTCTATTCACTAATTAAGAATTTAATATTCTTGTCTATAATATTCATAATCATCTACCGTTCTACACTATTCTCATTCATATATAGTTATTCACCAATTCATAATATACCAAATCTGTCCACATCAAAATCATGCTACCCGGCAGTGCTTATACTTTCAGATTTTAAGACAGCAAATGTAGAATATATACATTCATTGAAATTATTAGCTGCATTACAAAATGAAGTAAATGGTATACCTTCATCAGAACAAACGTATTGTATGCTTGCGTGGCTAAAAACTGACGGTAAACATAAGGTGAGAACATTTCCCCCCGCTTATTTAATGACATTCAAAGAGTGTTTTTATCCATTTACCTTCTCTACCTAGTGGAAAATACTTTTTGTATTTGTTATTCATTGTAAATGAAAAATTTTTATTTTCATTCAGTGCAGAGTTTTGTGTGTATTGATCGATCTGAAGGTAGGACTAAGCAATTGGTCACCTTACAGTGACCCTCGAATGACCTTGAAACCGGCAATCAGAAGTGAGCAGGTCGTTCGCCAGTGTTTTAGTGTTCATGGGCTTTAGAAAATTTTCATAGTTATACTGAGGGTGAAACAATGTAGAATCCGTTCAGTTTTTAAATTTCTATGCAGTACAAATGGATATGGTTGCATTAGCTTAAAAGTTATCGCTAGATATATAGTTTAGTGACTAAGACTGGGTCTCAGAGTGAATGAATGTGGTATGAAGTTTCCTGTATTTTTTTGGCTTTTAAAGTATAGGAGTTTAAAATAAACTTTAAAAACAAAGTGACCGACTTACTGGTTGAGTAATTTATTATTTTCGAGCAAACAGCGAATAGTATCTTGCTTTTATGTAGATGTTGGAGTTTGATTGTTAGAAATGGAGTCAAAATGTGATATTATGATGCATATATCAATGTTAAGCTACAGCCTAATTTAAGATAATCATTCCTGATTTCTCCAACTTTCTTACAACACAAACACTTGAAGAGACGTATACATTGGGAAAATGATGTAAAATAATCATCATCTGTAATGTAATTTCTTGCAATTTTATTGAATACTCCCTTAGATATTACCGATAAGACTACTGTTGGCTTGGAAATATGATTATCGGTTCAAGATCACTTAACAAGTCACTTAAGGACTTCAGAATTCTTTAAGTCTATTTATTTAGTTAGCATATGTAAATAACTGTCGTGGTCGCGTACTGTTGAGGAAACCCATACTAAGAGGAGACAGCTGTCCACTGATCTCAGGTTTGCAATGGTTCTTTAAATAATATCAGCCCATGATGAATATCATCTTATAAATTGTTTTTATAGTTAAAGGGCATTTATTCTATCCACAACTCAACTGCCAAGCATAATTTAGCATACATATGTGTAAAGAAAAACCATCCAGCCTTCTTGATACCTGAAATATTCCCTTGAATGAGGTGAAATAAAATCACGTTTAATGCATCCAATTACATTATTACTACTCTAATCGTCTGTTTGGCTTATAAGAAACTTCCAGACGAGAATTTTTCTATTGACTATGCTTTTATTATGTTTACTCACCGTAGTATCCTCATAGCCAGATGGATGTTACCAGTTCGATACTTTATCTAGTAGTCTGTAGTAGGTATAGATGTTCTCAGGGTTAGTTGACAATCCCAATTCGAAACCCTGTGTTTATAATGTTGTCTATCTGGTACACAGTTGAGAATTGTTTCAAGGTGTGTTCTTTATTCTTTTCAAAAGTTAAGCAGTCTTCTTAGTTAATGTGACTTTGAGAGCTTTACAACAGTGAGTCTTTATTTTGACCACAGTTGTAATTGTAATAGGTACCACTGTTTCCTGTCTCTTTGGTGGTCCTTAAGAAAAGATTGTTACTTTTTGACGACATGATCTTTTTCCCCCACTGAAAAGTACTTCTAAACACTCAGATATGAAGTGACTCTGATAACTAGTGGGAATGGGCGCAACAGAGGCTCAAAAATAGCACAGTATATCACATAACAGTACCAATGTTTGATAGAGCAACCCACTAAGACTGAGAACGTCAGCATTGAAGTAACAAGGTCTTTCTATTCAAAAACACTACGTCCATTCACTAGACTTACCATAGCTAAATTACAGTAAATTTCTTGTGCTTATAAACATTTTATTCTGCTGATGAACATAATATTAGCCACGAGACCATACTGATTAAGAATAGACTGTTATTTACATTCGCTGACCTTAATATTCAGTTTGGAGGTTTTTAAGGATTGATTGATTGATTTCAAGCTGGTATTCATCATCACGGACTGCAGTCAATTCGGAGACCCATTGAAAACCTGGGAAGACTTGACAGCTTTTTCCTCCTAATATGGCACCCCTCGACAGTGCACACCCATTATCCCACCAGAGGTCGAACCCAGTGGCTTCAGTTTCCTAGATAGTTACGTTGTCACTGAAACAGTGGGTTGGAATCCAATGGTCCACAATCTCCTACTTCTGTAAGTCTGGGGGGCAGCATGACCTTCATCCATTGACAACGTCCTCGTCGAGGGAACTGAAGGTCCTGAGTTCGGTCTCTGGAGAGCTGTCATGAGTTCATGCCACTGAGGAGTCCCATACTAGGACGAAACAGCTTTCCAGTGCTCTCAGTCTTTCAATAATTGTCCAGCTGATGTCAGTGTATGGTGAGTGACAAACTGATTTCAATATCAGTGTACTACATAAGAAAAAGAAGTTATCAAAAAGAAAGTTTTCTTAACTGTTACTTTTGTTTTATTTCTTAATGTTGAAATATAATCCTTTGAATTCATGAAGGCATTCACTAGCATAAATGAATTTTAATGCAATATCAATGAAGACAGTATTTGCAATTTAATACTCACAAAAGGTTATATTTTGAAGTCTTGGTTATTTCCAATGTGAGATGATGCATTTTCGAACTAGAATTTTGGGGTTATTTGGTATAATTTAAGGCTTGAAGATGATCATATATGCGATGGTCTAGATATGTAAAACAGACTCATCTGTTTAGTTATTCATACATAACTGAAAATGATAAATTTCACACTGAAATGTGTTCAGTGGGATTGTGTGCAGACTATACTATATTGTGCACTACATTCTGAACAATTCAATTTAAACACCAAAATAGTTTAGACCATCTAAATATGGTGCCACTTAACAGTTACCAACGGAAAATACTAGGTTTGAACCACAGCTTCTGGTCTAAGATATGAAAACATTCCGATAGAAAAGCAAACTTACCTCGAAAACATAAAAATAGGAATTGGGTGATGTTGTAGTGTATAATTACATAATAATTTGTGTTTTAGATATTTCACACAGTGAAACAACAGTTTTTACTGGATGACGTTACGAACAGCTCTTGTACTGTGTTTCAGTAGTTTCATTTCTCATTTTTCACTTGTCATATAGACAGCTGAAACTTTCAAACAAGCAGATAAAACTAGCGTAGAACCTTGCACATAAGTGCATCGGCTCAAGTTGTCACACTTCATAACAGCATCCAAAGGACGAATGGATAGAAAAAGACCGAAATCAAAGTAGAAAAAGTTGCGTTAGAGAGATAACAATGCGAAGATAACGATTAATGCAAATATATAAGCTCAAGGGTACGTCAGAGACTGAATAAATCTATGCTAATGTGACCAATCTTCAGCCATGTCACCAAGATTCGACAACTGTTGATTTCTATCGTCTTGAGGACCCCTACTCCTCCTTAAACGGCCGAGATGAAGAGTCAGAGACTTTTGTATAGGTACCACGTCTTGGTCTGGTCACGCTGAGGTTTCTTCCAACCTGATCCAACAGTCGATCCCTTAACCCTAATTGGTTAGTTTTTAGGACTGTCACTTTGTCCCATTCTATTGTCTGATCATGTGTAACTGCACGCATATCAATACTGAGCTTTTCTCTAGATATTTTTACCCTTCTAAGGCTTACCATTCCGATTCGCTCGGGTTTTTGTGATCTCTTATTCTGCTTTACCTTGACCAACTGCTTTGACTTGTGTACCTGATCTCACAGTCGTTTCATGAAGTTTTGAACAACAAATTTCGTTTCCATAGGCTCTAAAAGATACCTTAGCCTACGAAAGTTGTTTCTTATTGAGTTTGTAGGTTTAAATACCTTCTGTGTAGACCTCTTGAGGTAATTTTCTGATACGACAACACCTTGAAGGTTTTGAGTTCTTGTCTTTTGGTATTCACCTTACTAGTGTGCATATTATCTGTATCTGTGTTCCTCATATTTTGCGAATCACTATAAGAGGCTTATGATTACTTACTGAGGTTTCTTTTAGATGTTCTATTTCCTATCACAGATTTCCTTTGTTATCTCTTAAACATTTCGGTCTATTATTTTAACATCTCACTAAATCTAATTCTGCTAACATCAGATGAGGAGACCTAACGTCTTAGTATCACTTCGAATGCGTAAGTTTCCTGCAGACACTGATATCTATGCGTTCATTTTATATCCTCTGAACTCTACAATCTATTGTTATTGAATAAATAATACTGTTTCACTGCCTAAAATATATAACAATCAAGTTATAGAAGGATTGACCTTTGAAAAATACTCATACAAAAGGTGTCTTTCCTGTTTCAATCCCCACTCCAGAAGTAAGAAAGGCTTTAGATGAAACACACTGATGAAACCAACCATTCTACTGGGGTATATTACTGTACGATTTGTGACAAATATTCGTAGCTAAAGTGAAGAGGTTCAGAGTGAGTAGTTCCCCGAGCTAGAGTCTTAGTTGATAAACGTTTCTCTGTCATGATAGACAGTGTCATCAGTGCATCATAACTTCTTTGTGAGGCTCTGACGTACTGATAAACGTAGCCATGCCACTGGTATATATTATTCTTCAATACAAAGTAAATTCCCACGAGCTTTAATAACTTTAGATCTATTTGAGATAATTCTTAATGATTTTATTGAGGCTGTCATAGTGAGAACCCTGAAAACCCCTCATTGGGTCAAATGTTGATATATAGCATGTAATTTGAAAGTAATTTTAGAAGTCTTTAACAAGTTTTACGTCTTTCACACTCTTCATTTATACGGTTGGTATCAAACTGACTAAATACCGATTACATTATTCTCCAAAAATATATTACTTTCTCTGTGATACTGGAGTAAAGGATTTTTGGTAAGTCAGTAACTTTCTTTCGAGTATCATAACAAACACTAAAGTAATATTCAACTAAAAAGTTGATTACACCGTGATTAGCTTTCATCCTACAATTACTATTAACTTAAATGTAAACTGAAATAAAGAATTCTAACTTTCAATTTTTGGTGTAGATTGATAAAGTCACAAGTATGTGGGCATTTGTTCAAATTATTTTATCACTCAAGTGGCATATGAACTCCAAAGATTTGAAGATATCCAGAAAGTTATCAATTGACAGAAAGTAAATTATTCATTTCTAATAAGCTAAATTCAAATCTCATAACAAAAAAATAATTTCAGATTAAAATACAAAATTTTGTAAAATGTATATTATTGAATTTTGTATTTTAAACGTTGTGCCTTATCATAATTTGGTTGGTTGAGGTTAGCAAAAGAATCCAGGACACTCTTTTCGAGGCATCCGCATAGGAGCCCATATGCTAATGGAGGTCTAATAATTCGATCCAACAAAACAACGGAGAATAACAAGTATGTCAACAGATAGTAATTGTGCCTTATCATTTATTATTGAAATGAGCGTTTTAGAAATCTTATTTTACTCCACACCACTTCACTATTGAACCTGAGAACCACTGTTTTCCCTACAAAGTTCGAATGGTCACCGCATAATATGATTAATGATCCATACTTATGATTGCTAAGTTTCAGAGGATAGTTCTTGTACGAAATGAAGTCCATGAAGTTGTCACCTAACGGCTAAAATGTCAAGTTTCTGCTGTAGCAGCGGTAAACATGAAATCAGTCATACCTAGGCTAAATAACTTGCTCCATAGTGCAAGTTTGAAGGTAAAGACCTGCTGTGAGCTTTAAAGGCTGTGATTGCATGAATGTGTTTCTGTTAATTTTGGTCTAGACATTCGACTCTCAGCCAGTGAATTATGGGTTCAAACTCCTTTCCACTTGCAGTGGCTTGGACAACCAGGTAGTATTATCAATACTCACATAACATGTGGCTCATTAAGTAGTGCATGGTCATTCATGTGGTTCCCCAGAGAACTATGTTTTGAATTATTTTCTGTCGATCTGTTTGTACCGTAGTAGTACAGCTTTCCCGATCTACGAAAGACGACCAGAAAAACAGCGTCACCAGTCACTGTACACCTCATGGCTCACAATACACTATCATGAAAGATAAGATTCTCTGAAAGAGAATGGGACTCTTGGAAATCTAGAATACTCTAAAACACCACATGTTCCACACTTCAAGCACGCATCTTTTGCGTTTTGTAGTGATGAATCATTATCAGTACCGTAACAAAGGTGAGGGAGTCATTTCATAACCTCTGAAGACTTTTGCTGTCTGACTTACACTCAGAAAATCAACGCAGAACCTCACACGCAACTGCAATGGCTCACATTGTCATACTAAGGAGGGTGATGCTCATCAGAAAACATATAAGTAATATATGTTGAGAGGGCGACAGAAATCGTAGGGAATTACCAGCAATAGGTAAAGATTCTGCACAGAGAAATGCAGGAGACAACGCATTATTAGAAAACCAAGATAGAAGCAGAACACAAAATGAAGCACATTGTGCAAATAGCTGTCTTACTGGAAGGTGTACAATATTTGATGACTACTGTACGATATGTCTATAATAAACATTCCTTGCCACGTCTCGGTCTTTTTTTCTACAATACTACACACTATCATACAAAGAATAGAGTGATGAAGTAGAAAAGTTTGTGTGAGAGAAAAAACAATTTGTAGGTAAAGTTTAGTCCAGGTGTTTAAGCCTTAAAACACATCAAAGAATACGTCTGCGCCAATGTGACTGATTTTTACACATGTCCCCAAGAGTCCTCAACAACTGAATCCTTTATTTTCTAGGATCCCAACCAGGCAGTCTACATCTTCAAACACGACTCAGGCCAAAATTGTGAGACTTCATCGGTAGGTATCAGGTTTTGTTCTGACCACTCGGAACCCTCTTCCAACTTAATCCAAGAAAAACTGCATCTTCACCATTAATCAACCTATGTGAGCGTAATTTTCCACCTCACTGGGAACATACAACATGCATGTCTAAGGGACCAAAACGACTAGTGTTGAATCCAAAATGGAGAGAGGTGGATCCCAACCAAATTACGCATAAAATCCCAAAAGTTTAGCTTCAAGTGGTACTGTAGTTAATAATAATAATAATAGTAATGATTTGATTCTCACAATAGGAATTTAACATGAGGGAAGCCAATTTACAGGCATCATCACATTAATATATATTGAAAAATCTACAAGATTTTACGGGTGGTGAATGGTACAGAAGGAAAGTCATTAAGTTCCATTAAAAACACCAGAAGATTCTACTAGTTATGAAAGCAAAGAGGAAATATCATTTTTCAGCATATACAGAGTGTTAAAGTTTAGATCATTTTCAGTCATACTTTTTTTCCCCATATGTGGCACCAAGGTCGCGCAAAATTCTAAATTTCCGTTACAAGCAGTCGACATGTATCATTCGTCTTCGTAATGACACGTTAGGCCAGATAATTGTCTATTTTATCATAAATTCTTATGCTTATAGCTTCAGAGACCCAAAGAACCAACATTGACGATTTCAGGAACCAGTAAGTTTCCACATAATCATGTAATTCAAGTGAATATCTATGTCCAAGCATTTCCCATTATTCAAGTGTTACCGTTCATAGCAATATAGACTCATGTCATTACAACTAGGTGCTTTTGTGCAGAGGAATAAACATTTGAAGAACTGCAGACCAATGGTAATGAGTTTTCCATACTGTTCACGTTAAGGTATGCAGCACTATCAAGGAGTTATACTCACTGTTAGATGAAGTACTAGAGAATTCTGTTGCGTAGCTTTGTTGTGAATATGTTCACTTCAGAGGCAATAAGTGAGTTGATCTCTTAGATTTAACTGTTTGTCCAGCTTTTCGCTGCCATTATGACCATCCAGAAATTTGAGTTATTCGAGGATGTTCATATGGTGAAAGAGTCAAATGAGTGAATGGGACCGGTAGTTACAAATTACAACTATATTAATGATAGCAGCAATTCCGAAATATGACGCTACCGTTGGGATAACCGTGAATGAGTTACAAAGAAGCATCAGCGACGGTTAGTCATGACTAGGCAATCTGCAAATAATAAACACAAAGTCAGTAACCCACAGGGCACTGGTTTGAATTCTGCAACCGCTAAGGTATTAACTTTGCTTTTAGTGTTGTCATTCAAAACAATAATATTGGTTTATTAAAACACGGCTATTTTAGGTAGTCTCACTAATAAGCAATAGGAGTTCATTCCGCCAACCAACAAATCACTCAACCGATCCAGACACTTAATCACGCAAATCAGTCGAGGAGATAAAAGTAACCAATCAGAACAAGAATCATAATTAGGAAAGGGTAGGAAGGAAGGAGCTAACCTTACTTGTAAAAGAATACGGGAAAACTCTGAATATAATAAACATGAGTGATTATACAGTAAGGTTCTAATACACTTAGGAGTTGATGGACCCTATAGGTTGATAAAAGCGATGAGGATAGGGCAGGGACATCCTACAATTAGCTTTAAAGTTAAATAGAAAATCACCAGCTGACTAGAAGTTTAATCAAACGTGAAAGTGATCTTCTTCATGATGTAATCTGGAGTTGAATACATTCTGATAAGGTAACACGGATAAAAGTAGCCTGTTAACTGAAACTGAAACTTAAGAATAGCCGGCAAATTATAATATGTTTGATGCAATAGGTTAGTAAGCGAAGAATGCCTGTGATAAAGAACATAAATTTTTTTCAACTCAAGCTGACCAATAACATTAGTATAGATGGTGAACATTAATCATTGGTGAAAGCGAAAGGCAATTAGAACCATTAGGAATGAATAATGGTATAGAGTTGTTGAAGTACAATAAAATGATTAAGTCAAAAAGGTCTACACTAGTAATGCTGTCATCGTAAGGTACACACACTTCTACTGAAAACTTTCAAAATAAATGAACAAGGTGCTTGATGGAATACGTCAGAAACATGTTGAAATAGGTGAAAACCACACAGACATCGACTTATCAACATGTACTGAAGTTGAACAAACCCTTGCAAATCACAGAAAGTGTTGAGTGGAACTTGACACTCCCAAGCTTATCTTACGGGACAATGGTTTAGAATTAGTGGTCACAATAACTGAAATACTAGCTGGTTTTTGTAAACAGAGACATTACAACAGGAAATGTATCAGTACCTTACTCATTGATGTAAGTATATTGAAGTTATTGTTTTGATTAGCAGTACCATTGCATTTCGTTTTCCTCATAAACTGTAGCAACAATTCAATGTATTGCATATACTTTGCTATAAAAGAAAACTTTTACAAAATTTTACCATACACTGAATATACACATCTTGTTTGGCATACATATGTTCTAAATTTGACCGGTTTAAATTAGTCTGTGAGAACTCCTGAAATTTGTTTCTTTGTTACGTGTTCCTAGATAATTTCGACTATACATCGGGTACACCTCGTTTATAGCCATTTGAACAATCTGTTGAACCGAAAATGTCTCTAAGAAGTTAACTGGACTCATGTGTATTGGATTTTCATCGAACTAAACTCTATTTCTGCGAAAAAGTTGAAATCCCACCTAACCTAAGAAACCTCTCTTTCCATAATTCACTTTCAATAACGTGAAGTAAAACACTCAAAACTCGTTTGAATATGAAATTTTGAATTTCTGAACACATAGTCACCTGCGCATCCTAAGAAACATCTAGAACATTGCAAATCATTTAGAATGGTTACTTAAGTACGAAGTAAATAGTAGACTTAATGTTTGAATCTGGAAAAGGATCTTTTCAGTGTCCTGGTTGTCTGATAAACGCATAAGGTAAAAATCCTAGTAAACGAAAATTTAACGGTGCCTTTCCGTTTGAAGAAACTATATCGCCTTCTGGTACCTCTATAGCCATAAAACAATAATAACACTCCTTTTATTCTAAATAACCTGTGTGATACATCCTAGAACTTCCAGCAAATAGTATTTTAACAAGTACTATACCCGTACAATATTTTTTAAGGAAATAATTATTGCATCTGAATAATGCTAATAGTAATAGTATTAAAGGCACCTATATGAGTAACTTCTATTACATAAGCGTTTGGTTTGAACTTGAGAATGAATGAGAAATCGAATTACGGTGGTGATAGTATAGTTGGAGATTCGATATAGGTAGCTTAGGAATTGTACTGTGCTGTATTTTAGAG